CTAACTTTACCATATTAACAAATTTTGATAAATTTGAAACATAAAATGCATGGAAGAATGATGTTAGCAACGAAGACGATGATGACGCTGATGGTGACGACAACGACGACCATGGTGATAAAAATAACGGTAATAAAAAAGAGAGGGAAAGAAGATGATAAAGTGGCAGTGGTGATGTTGTTCAACGGCCGATCTAAACAACGTTGATGGGGTGACCAACATTTTTAAAATGTTGAAATCTTTTAAAATTTTACGAGGGGCTGGTGTGGCCAAGATTAGGCAGGCGACATTTTTTGCTTATCACGCAAATTTTGGTGCATTTTGTACCTAAAAACGAATTTGTCCTGTCTGAAGGAGTTTCAAGACTGCTCACAACGAGGCCTGCCTAGATCCGCCACTGAAGTCGTTCATTCAAACCACCGGACCAAACTCATTGTACACTGGGAATACTTACTATTATAAAAATCGGAAACGTGAATGAAATGCAACAATGCACAAGTTGTTCGTTTTATTTCAGAGTCTTTTTCATTTGAAAGTGGATGAATTCATTGGCGGAAAATATGAATTATATCTGCAAGTCAACCGTGAATATGGATAGAAGTATTTTTAGCCTTAAAGTCAAATTTGTGTTTGAGAATTCTGGTCAGCAAGCAAATTTTTTAATAAAGCCTTTTAGTAACATTAAAAGCTCACCGTCTTGAAGCTTCAAGTTTGATAGTTTGCTGTAAAAAATAAATTTGAAACTGTTGCAAAATTTTTGAGCGTATTATGGAAAGTTTCAACTTTCATGTGCAAGGTCAAAGTTCAATGACCTGTACAAACAAGTCCTTACATTAAATTACTCATACAGGCAAGCAAACATAAATACAAACATAATCACCGCACAACTAAATACAAGAACAATAAGAGGCTCAAATATTTAAATGCACACAAGTAGGTGCACATGAGCACAAATAAACAAACACACACACAAACACACACATACGAACACAAACACTAAGACAAACACACACACACACATACACATACGAACACAAACTCACATACACACACAAACAAAAAAGCACAAACGTTTTTAAGAACGCCTGTTCACAAACGCAACTACATCCAACCACGCGGTACAAACAAATTATTTATCGATTGAAACATCTACTTACTTTGCTAAGGTCATATTTTTCCTTAATCTTCCAAAATTTAAACTAACTTTACAATGTTAATAAGTATATATATATATATATATATATATATATATATATAATATATAATATATATATATATATATATAATGTGAATTCTACCAAATTGTTGGCATTAATCAATTTAAAGTTTGTCTTTTCAATTTTCCTTTATTTTCTGGAAATTGTTGAATTGGTTGAAAATATAACTATTATCAAAATTCATCATGAAAATTTAATAAAATTGTTTTTATACAAATTCATCATCCAGATAGGCCTTATTTCGATTTTTCACAAATCATCTTCAGTGCAGGTTTGGTTTAAAGAAACTATAATAACCAAACATGCACTGAAAATAATTTGTAAAATCAAAAATAGGACCTATCTGCATGATGAATTTGAATAACAAGAGTTTCATTAAATTTTCATGATGAACTTGGATAATAATTCTATTTTCAATAAATTGAACAATTTTCAGAAAATTCTAGTAAGGAAAATTGAAAAAAACAAACTTTGAATTGATTAATGCCAACAAAACGGCAGAATGTCATACTGTATAAAATATGGTTTCCTCCCAACACACATATATATATATATACATATATATACATATATATATATATATATATATATATGTATATATAATTTGAATATGCTAACCATTCAGTAACATGCAGATCAAACACGCATCGATTAAATGGTTATAATAAATAACATGCATACGCATTATCACAAGCAAGCGTCAGAAGTTCAAAGGTCAACAAAGATTTCAACGTAGCGTGACGAAGATAAAAGTTGTTGGTTGATTTTGCTAAATGTAGGAATTGTGATATGTTTAATATACATGCATATCTGTGCTTGAATATATTAGATATGCAAGTCTGGGCTTGCCTGTGTGTGTTTGTGATACATGTTCAATATACATACCTTTTTAATGTTCATATCTGTATTGTATACGTTATATATATATATATATATATAATAGATGTTCTTGCGTATAAATGATGTTGATATACATGCATTCCTTGTCTCGATGTTTCCAACGATAGCATCAATCAAAATGATTATTCACAAAGAAAAATTCGGACGACTTTATTAACTGCTGCATTAATTGCGTTCTTCCCCCGATGTAAACTGTTTGTTCGTAGTGCAGTTGGACTTGCAAGCACTTACCGGCTGCTTGCCACGACGATAGTTCATGGGAGTTAACATGGCCATGGTAGTTTTACACAAAGTTAAGTTGTTGAAGATTTGATGTTTGAACGAGCGCATATTTTAAAATTTTTTAATATTTGGTCCTTTTGTTAACAATCTAATAACACAAACTTTATGCCTATGACCAAATTATTTCCAACCAAACGACTGTACGCAGAAATGCATAGTTCGGGGAATAGTTGAAGCATTTTCATTTTGTATTTCGTCATTTCTTGTTAAATTTTTTTGTCAAACTTTGAGATAGATGCTTGGTGAGAGAATAAACAGATCCATCCTCATTTCATTTGTACCAAGAAGTTCAATATATGGATAGCGTATATGCAAGTAAAACATTTCAATCATTTTCTATTCATATCAATGCGCTTTTCGTTTCCCGCTAGATGAATGCGCAATTCCACGCTGGCACGACCGCCAGTTTTTCATTGAAATGTTGCGTCAATGACACGCCTAATATTAATAGCTGAAGAACATCGTATTTATTTAGACTTTTCAAAAACCAATAAATTGACAATAACCGTTTCAAAACAAGAAATGCATTATTTTAATTTCGATTTTTTCCTCCTTACAACGTTTTCAACTGAAATTTCGTTAATATTAATAAACACTTATCGTTATCATTGTTGCATCGTTACCATCGTCATGATCATTATTAATATTACAATAATTGTTAGCAGCTCCATCAATACTTCCTTCTATAAATATCACAGCCTAAACCAACATTATCATCATAAACTTTCCCTCTTCCATCTAATCGTCAAAACGTGAAATTTTGTTGATGTCATACTTTGATACGAACGTCCATTTTAATGTTGTACTCATGTTCGCTTCATTCTTGTGCTTGCTGAACGCGTATTGAAATTTGTTCAATTGTCTTTCTTCTTTAATCTCTCATTTCTTTCATTCATTCCCCCAGGCAACTCATTTAAAAGAACACTCGAGCACATATACACATAAGCACATACACACACATACAACAATACACGCCAACAAAAAAAACATACACACAAGAACACATACACATGCATACACAAAAAACACATGTAACGCAAGAACACGTACACACAAATACACAAGTACCAATACATAATAAGCACAGACATCAACATCAACATTCTAAAACACATTTTGGTACCTCAAGCAGATTAAAATGTTTACATTAAAACTAAAGTCAATAATTAAGCTACTGACAACGGTCATTAAGTCGCTGCTAATCATTGGACACGTCGCAGTAAGTAGTTGGACTGCGTGTAAAAGACCCATGACTTAATTTAGCCTCCCCAGTTTTAGCACATTTCAAAACAGTCCAAATTTAAAATTTTTTACGAACATTTTATGACCAGCTTTTTTACTTTAGAAATTACTCAAATGCAACGCAATGCCAAATAAAGCATTGGTTAAATTTATTAATATCTGTTTATATGTTTATCTGCGCGTTGTGTGGTGTGTGTGTGTGTCTGTGTGAAGTGATATGTTCTCAAAAGTTGATACAGATAAATATTCCCATCTGAGAACACAGATGCATGCTATCTATAAGAATTGCAAACTGATCGGCTGAACTTCAACCGATCATATGCTTAGTTAATTAACTGTCTGGTTCGTTAGTTTGTTGGCTGGTTGGTTAACTAGTTGGCTGATTAGTTCATTAATCAGTTAATTGGTTCCATAGCTGACTAATTGGTTAATTTGCTAGCTGGTTGGTGAATTAGTTAGTTATTTAATTGTTAAAAATTAATTGGCTGGCTGTTTTGTTAATTGGTTGGTTGTTTGATTAGTTAGTTGGTTGACTGGTTTGTCAGTAGTTTGGTATGTTGGTTGGTTGGCTGACTGGCTGGTTTGTTGATTGGTTGGTTTGATGGTTGGTTAATTGAATGTTCAGTTATTGCTTTGATTGATAGTCAATTAGTTGGCGGGTTTATTCATTAGTCCAAAAAAGCCAGAACTTCAGATGATTAAAACTTTAGATAACATAAAACTTGAAAACATTTCGTTAAATTGCAAAATTGAATAGATATTAAAGTAATATGAAAAATAAAGAACAAAATTTAAACTAATAAAAGAATTAATTGTGAACCAGCTGAAAAACTCATAAGAAGCGCCATATAAATGTTTTTATTATAATAATAACAATGATAAGAATAATAATAATAATTTTAAAAAGTACATCTTCCCCACATGTAAGGCATACACATTTCTAGACATTCATACAAATTGTATATGAGCGATCCATCCGTTTGTAAACAGCAATACAAGCGCAATGTGTATTGTCCGTTCGTACACAAAATACTAATGTACACATACACACTTGTCCATTGATACACATACATACATAACACTGTCAACCTCCCGTGGCGAGCAGATTATAGTTGGACGCGTGTTCATTGTTACAGTAAATGAACACTCACTCATTTTGTTAACCATTCTTTTTTTTAAATCCACTCAGTATTAAATGCAATGCAACAAACAAGTATTATATCATTGCGGTATTACCATGTGGATTAATTTAATTTTAAAAAGCACTTTGCTGTAAATAAACTTTAACCCCAACATGATATCAGAATTTGTCGAGTTGAATTATACAAATGTAAAAAAAGAACATTAAAGAACTATAACCTGAGTTTCAGTGAGGTTGAGTGACTGAGCCAGTTCCTTTCTTTCTTGTCCAACCAAATATTGATTGCTGTCAAATGCTTCTTCTAACTGAACGAGCTGGTTCGGAGAAAAAGCTGTTCGGACTCGTTTAGGCTTGCGCACATGAGTAGAGGGAAAAGAGGATGAAGCTGACACTAGCGATGATGGATGACGAAGATATTGGTGATAACTATTCAGCAAATTATTGTAGTTGTACATGGACGATGGATCATGCTGATCGCCTGCTTATTTAAAAAAATTAGAACAAAATTTTAACATTTCGATTTAATTTTTTCAACAAAATAATTAACCGGAAACAAAAATATTAGAAAGCATGGTAAAAATTTAATAAAATGAATTGTTTTATTTAACAACTGTGAATTGTTGGCAATCGTGCGACAACTAGCGCTTTTGTGATTCGCGAATAATTCATTGGTTCTATTACCGTTGGCATTGTAATAAACGTTTAAACAAGTTTGTATTTGAAGCAGTTGAGCTTATCTAGCAGGAATCAGTGAACTTGACGATCGTGCAAGTTACAACGATATTGACAATATTAATTCTGAATAAATTTTGTAACATAAAAAAATAACGTATTAAAATACCTTTTGAAAAATTCTCTTTTAAAATCATAAAAACAGCTGTAGCAGCAGGAGATTGTTGCTGTTGTTGATGGTGGTGGTGATAATGGCAAAGACTGTTGATGACCGCTGCTGTGTCCAATTGATGTTTTGAAATCATTTGATCTACGAAATTATTATTGTTATAGATGTTATTGTTGTTGCTACTGCTGCAAACGTTGTTATTGTTATGAATGTTGTTATAAATGATGTTATCTTTATTGATGTCATGATTGTTGATGTAGATGTTGTGCTGATATTGAGATGGAACAAATCCAATTTGAGGATGCTTGTGTGAAAATTGCAAACGTTGCTTCCAATTCCAAGCTAACATGATGTCCCGAAAAACTTTCGCATTTGGTATATCGTTGTTTTTGAGACTGATGCTTTTGTTGTTAAAAATTGGGTTGTGAAGATTTTTGTTAGTGTTGAGTTTTGTGTCGTTGTTGAGACCCATGTCGTCATTATGACTTGAGTTGTTGTTGAGACTTGAGTTGTTGTTGAGACTTGAGTTGTCGTTACGACTTGTACTTCTGTCTGTCTCGAGTTCGTGAATCCTGTTACAATCACGTCTTTGTTTGAAATGCGCGTTGACATAAGTTGGTTTGATGCCTGAGATGAGATTGTTGATATTGCATTTGTTTTCGTTGTTGCAGCTGTCTTTGAGCTTACTGAGGTCATCACTCTCGAAATTATCGCCGATGAAATATGTTTTTCTGTTAACTGTTTCATCATTATTGTTATTAATGTTATCATTATCAACGTCAATTTTATTTTTATCATTAAGATTGTTGTTCTCATTATATTTTTTGTTAATATTTATATCTATATTGTTCGTGTAGACAATTCGGTTGGTAGTTTCATTTGATTCGATCTGATGCATTCTTAAAAGGGTATGAAAAATGTTCGGATTTGTGGTTTCATCAGCTTTGTGCTGGTTGGAGTTTGCAGAAAAATCCTTGTAAGATATTGTTGATGTAGATAGTGAAGGTGTTGATGTTTCATTCGTTTCTTTAAATTTTGTTTCTTTCAATTTACGTTGAGAAAGAAATACAGTAGAACTATTTGCTAGAACATTGTTAATATCATAACAGACTCTCAAAGGTTTTGTCTGATATGATAATAAATGATCGTGAGTAACTGCAGCAATGTTGTTCCCGTCAGTGGCCACTTTGTTTCTGTTGACATTTTTTTTTAAAGTTTTGGTAGTTAAGACGTCGTTGTAGTCGCAGTTCGTTATCATATCGTTACTACTGTTGTTTGTGCTGCTGAAGTTGTTACTAGTGATTTTGGTGGCATCTTCATTGATGTATTGATTACCAGATAACGAAATGTTATTTTCCAAAACATTCCTCACGCCACCACTACATTCTTCGTCACGCCCCACGCACTCCTTGCACGCCTTCTTCTCAATGCCGACAATGGATTCAATGCTGAAGGAAACTTTGCTTTTTTTCTTTAGATCCATGGAACATTTCTCAACCATTTGAATGCTCAATTTTAATTATAAAAAGGAACATAAAATTTGAAAAATGCAGTTCTAACCCGAAAGAATGCAAACGAACAGTGCTTAAATATATTAAAAATCATAAATTAAAATTAATAAGTGTATCAGTAATTAGGTTAATTACATTAATTACATAAATATTTATACAATTACATGTGCTGATAAATTTATTATGCTAATTACGGTAATATTTTCAGCTTGGATCCATTAAGGCGCTCAATTGCACGTCGTTGCCATTTAAAACTCAACATGCAGTCAACGTTCAAAGCTACAACAACGCATGAAATGTGGGCGGAGCTTCTTCTGTAGTTCTTCACAACTCCATCAGCCAATAGGAATTATTCTAAAACCAAATGAACGAATGGCAATAAAATTTAAATTGAAAAAATGATTTGTGGAAACTAGCGGCATGTAATCGACCAACATTTAAAAGTAATTACGTAATTATAGAAGCTGATTGTTACGCAATTTGAACACGGTAAATAATTTACTGTTCAATAATAATGATGAGAGTTAAAATTTGTAGAGGTTCATAACAAAATAATAACGGAATTTTAGAATAGTCAATTAAATATTACGTAACTTAATTAACGGCTTTGCGTAAGCACGTTTGACTAATTGATCATTTTGTTTTATCATGTTAACCGAGAAATCGTATGTTATATGTTGTGATGAGGTGTGTGTGGTGTTGTGTGTGGTGTTGTGTGTGGTGTGTGTGTGATGTAATATTGCGTGAGTGGAGTCTCTTCAGCTGTTCTTCACACGCGTGTGGTGTTGTGTTGCATTGTGATTGTTTAATGTATGTATGAATTCATGCTTATGAAAAAGACAGTAAATGATTTAATAAAATTTCTATTTCTTCAAACTATAAATCTTTAGAACGATTGGGAGAGCAGTAGAAAATGGCAAGAACGATGGCCGAAGCAATGCACATGAGCATAGTAGCAGACACCTCAAACAATGAGAAATATCTGAGGTCGGAATACAAACAGAAGTGCCGCCGCTACCTCAATCTGGCCTGTGAAAGTGTGCTACTGAATTGCAGGGTGGAGTAATATCTAACTTTAGAGCATTGGGAACATGAGTACCTGGATTATTGTGTGGTGCGTGTGTATGATGGGAAGTGTGGGATGGGATGTGTGTGGTGTTGTGTGTGGTGTTGTGTGTGATGTGTGTGCGCAATTGTCTATGCTGTTGTCTATGATGGTTCAGTTAAGGAAAGTCACCTTGTTGACTGCTGGTTGAGCGTTTAGAAACCCCAGAACTGTTGTCATCAGCCGCCTATGAGATCTATTCACTACAGACGGCACGTGCTTCAGACCGGTGCATGTACCACCCGACCGCCAAATCTCGTTTGGAACAAAATTTTTTTAACTGGCCAAGGAAGGGATAACAAGCACAATGGCTGCAAGCGCCGATGGGAGCAGCTCTGCAGCCGTTTACTGTATCGACAAATTGGAAATAACTGGTGAATGTCTAAATGTAGTGAACTTAAAATGAAAATAAGTACTAAACTTATAATATTAGCATGAGTGAAGATTTGTATCAATAATAATAATCTATAATATAACAGCAATGTTTTGATGAATAAAATATGAAAAGAACAAGCAAATAAACAATTTAAAATCAACCAGTAAATGAATAAATTATAGGATGGTAGAAAGTACAAGCTGTCGAATGTACTATAAATTTAGCTATAATATTAGTTCTTACGATAATAATAAATATTATTATTTTTATTATTATGTAACTATTGTTACAAATTATAAATCTAAATGCAAATTGTAAAAGCATTGTCCATTAACGACATCATTTGATGAAGTACATGCAACCCCATTTTAATAGAATGTAATGATGCTGAAGAACATGCAATCGTGTTTAACCCCACGACTCATTGGTGTTGGTAAATTGTACATATTCATCTTTTTCAACTTAATAATCGTATGAGTTATTAAAAATATGCAAATATTGGTTTTAATATTTTTGATATAGAAAACCAAAAAAATCTTACCAAATATGTTAAATATTTCTTAATGTTATTTGATATTGAGAATTAAGTTCTTTTTCATTCGTTTGTTAAGCGGTGCACGTTATTTTATTAACTGCAACAGCAACCTTATCGTTTGTTAAATGAATAATTACATCGATAAGGATAAGGTAATTACAAGCTGTTGTGTTTTGTTGCGTCCGTCTCTCGGTCTCACTGCGTTGTGTTCATTGCACCCACGTGTACGAGCTCTTTCTTGTAGCTTGTTTTGTTGTATGCTACTGTTTGACGTGCCAAAATCGTTAAGTTTCAGTGAAACAAAATCGTCTGTTTATTATTTAACACTAGGCAACGATAGTTTAGCGCGCACACACACACACACACACACACACACACACACACACACACACACACACACACACACACATATATATATATATATATATATATATATATATATATATATATATATGTGTGTGTGTGTGTGTGTGTGTGTGTGTGTGTGTGTGTGTGTGTGTGTGTGGTGTGTGTTGGAAGGAGACCATATATTATGCAGTATTGTATGAATTCTACCGAGTCATTCAGTCAGTCAGTCAATCAATCAATCAAAAACGCTATTTTCGCGATGCCTCGGTCAGTCAATCAATCAATCAGTCCAGTCAGTCAGTCAATCATTCAACCAACCAACTAATCAATCAATCAATTAAATCAATCAATTAAATCAATCAATCAATTTGTAAAATCAATTTGTAAGCGATGTTCAACAGCGCTCCTCGGTGAATTTTGCAAACAGATGAGTCTTGAGACCCGCTCTGAACTTCGTAAGTGACGGATAAGTAGTCAGAGAAGGAGGTAGAGATTTCCAAAAATAAGGGCCAGAAAAAGCAAACTCAGATTTAGCAAAATAGTGTTTAACACAAGTTAAGAAAAAGTGAGAGCAAGAAGACCTTCGTAAACTAGTAAAAAATTCAATGAAACTTAGTATACAGAGAAACACCGTTTTTAAGTACTAATTTTGGCCAGACTAGCAAACATTTGGTGAATTTCTTGGCCACCGTCAAATTTCAATATTTCACGAACTTTGGCTCCTTTCCAACGTTGTCTAAATCCGTCATTGCCAAGATGTTCATGACAAGTTGCCCAACAAACGTCAAAACAGTTTCATACGATTACTATTTGATCTGCATCCTCATTGGCATGTTAGCGATTATTTCTCAACTTTGAATCTTTTAAATATGAAAAATTTAAATTGAATGAATTAATTAAATGACAGCGATTTTTGTATGCTCACTCGACAAGATAAGTTTGATTCAGTCCAGCTTAAAATCTACTGGGCCAAAAGTACGGAACAAAATCATTACACCAGAAATTAAATCTATCAATTTACTAAATTTATTCAAAAATGAAAAAAAAATTTAATAACAGAAAATTCTGTCTTTTCGAAGTTATAATAACAATGTCACAATGAGCACGTGCAAAAATTATCCAAATATATGAGAAATACATTTTTGATTTTTGAGTGTCACAACCTTAATAATATAGGCAATATCTGATGTTTTGCTTCTAGAGTTTTTATCTGATTTTTTTTGTTTTGGACGATGAACTAGAACTTAGAACGTTACAAGTTTATAAAATTTAAAAAATAAATTAATTATAATTATGGTAGCTGACACAAGTGATTACATTTTGGTTTTCATCTCATTTCATTTCAATAATTTTTTTAAATTTTGCTTGATATGATTCGGCAAATAAAATGTGAATCTTATAAAGTTCGACCAATGAGAGAAGACTACATTTCATTCAACCAAATAGATTCCATATATTAACTGTAAATAAAAAGTATGAAACGCGAATTAAAATTTTGCGATTTAGGATTTGAAATTTTCAATGTAACTTTTTTTTATGTAGTTTTAAAGTTAGAAAATTTAATTAAAGATAATTATTTTTTAAATTAACGAACAAATTAAAAGTTGTAGTGTTCTTAGCAGTAAAACTTTGCAGCTTTGGAGGCTGCTAGATCTTTCTTTTAATATTATTGATTCTTGTCTATCTTGGTTTTCTTTTTATCTCTGTAATGGTTTTTCTTCTGTTGTTCTCAATAAATCTTCTTCTAACTCATCTACTCTTACTTTCGGGGTACCTCAGGATTCTATCCTTGGCCCTCTTCTACTTATACTCTATACCTTTGAACTATTTCGTATTAATAATAACTTTTCCTTCCCTAGTCAACTATATGCTGATGATTTTTATATTTATACTTCTTTTCCTCCATCTAATCTCAATAGTGTTCTTCATAATCTATCTCTATGTCTTTCTTCAATTATCACTCTATGTGTTTTAAACTTAATCCTTCTAAATTTGAATTAATTCGTTTTAATAAATCTAAACACTCTATTACTATTCCTCCTATTATCTTACCTAATTCTAAAACTCTTGATGTTTCTCACAAGTTTTGTAGTCTAGGCTTTATCTTTGATTCTAGTATGTCTCTTTCTTCTCAGATTAATAGTGTTGCTAGAAGTTCATACTTTCATCTAAGTAGAACAAAAAAAATTTTTGCCTTTTCTTGATGATCCTACTCTTCTCCTTCTTGTTACTTCGTTGATCTTATCTAGGATTGACTATTATAACTCGCTCTACTATGGTCTTCCTGATTTTACTCTCTTTAATCCTTTAAGTAAAGCTTCTAACTCTGCTGCTCGTCTAGTTGCTCGTGCCCCTTTCTTTTCTCATATATCTCCGTATCTTGTTCTCTTGCACTGGATACCTATAAAATATAGAATAATTTTTAAAATTTGCACATTTATGTATAAGTCTCAATCTTAATTATTTCTTAAGTACTTATCAGATATATAATTATATCTATAATTATATTATATAATTATATTAATTAAACCTAAACGCCCCGGTTTAAGATCGTCTTCTTCTTAACTCGTGTTAAACACTCCTTTGCTAAATCTGCTTTTGCTTTTTCTGGCTCTTTTCTCTGGAACTCTCTCCTACATATCTGACTACTTCTCCATCACTTATGAAGTTCAGAGCGGATCTCAAGACCTGTTTGCAAAATTAATTGAGGAGCGCTGCTGAACATCGCGGAAATAGTGCTTTACAAGCTAAATGAATGATTGATTGAAAACAGAGCGACAAAATTTTTAATCCCCTTTTTTTATGAATTATTACCGAATGATTGACTTATCCCGATTATAATGTTTTAACGTCAAAAGACTTGAATTCAGATGTTTCGTTTCTACTGTGTCAAATCAATCTAATCATTCATGTCTCTTAAATCTCGTTATAAAATCAACTAAATTTTGGTGGTGTGCAAAATTACGATGGTGACCTTTTTAGCGTATCACGCAAAATTTTCTACTCCGTTGAAAAGATGTTTTCGTATGTAAAAACTGACAGTTTTCATAAAATACTGGTAGGCCAAATGAACTTTTGAAACACGTGCCAGCAATCAAGATTTATAACAAGAAAAGTAATTTAGAAACAAAATCCGATAAGTTCTATTAAACTTAAAAAATACATATACTCACCCGTACCCAGCTCAAAACTCAATCGGTCAAGTTTTTCATCGACGAGAAGTTGGATATATAATTTCGAAGTCATTCTATTAAAATGTAGTCAATTTGACCAATCAACTTGCCAAGTTAAATCGCATTATAAGGCGGGGCAACAGAGTCACCAGATTGTAAATCCTGTAATAAACATCAAAAATTGCCAATTTGTAAAACTTAATTGTACAAATACTTGAATTAATATAACCTAATACTAAAAGTTTTGACCAAAAATATCAGTTCTTGCGAAGACTGACGGCCGATTAAAGTGACCGATGAAAAAATAAACGGAGCTTGGCCCTAAACTTGACCGATAAACCAGTACATAGTTACGATAATCTATATCCAATCAAAACTCATCAATTATAATAATTTAAAACAAATCGATAGACACAAATATTTCTTTGTAGTAATTTATTTAAAATATATACAAACTTCAACACATTAGGCAGATACATATGCTCTCTTCAAGTAAAAAACAATGACAATGAGCTTGAATAACTGAAAAATCATATGAGGGACATATTGCTCTATCAGTCAAATTGGTCGTTTAAGGAAAAGTATTTGCATATGACAAAAAAATTCAATTATCCTAGCAATTCAATCAATTAGTTGCAAAAACCAACAAAACAAATTAAGCATTATTCCTTTGAAAACACTGAAGTGGTACAAAAACAATCCATTCATTACCAATGAGAAAACTATTTCAACAAAAACATGCCCAACGAATAAAAACTTAGTAGAATTCTTATTGGACATCAGAACGCAGTATAATTAAAAATACAAAAACAACCTCCTAACCTAACCAATTATTGTAAAGTAACGGACAAAATAAACGTATTAAAATGACGTCAGACAACACTTGAACCGAAATTTGAAAACACAAATAACTAACGCCAGTTAAAACGTGATAGTTTATAAATAAAAAAAATTTCGTCATAGTAACATTTCTTGAACAAGCAACTTTCTTGAAGAAAGTCAACATTAAAAAATTTTCATCAAAAGGCAATCACAAAAACAATCAACATAATAATCTAATATAATAAACTTAAACATTAAAATATTGAAAACGTGTTATTTTCATCATAAACTGTTTCTCTTAGCATGGCATCTTGATATTTTACCTTCGGGCATGTCTCCATTTATGGAAGCATTTTCAATTTGCTCAAGTCGTTGATCGAGATACTGTTCTAGGGAGAGGCCTGCATTATGGACTGGTGTGTTAGGGCTGTTGTATAAATTACAGTTGTCAAACATCAACCTTAGGTCGTCGATGATTGAATATTGATCAGGATATTCAAATCTGTATATCTTGTACTTTATTGTTGATAAATCCATTGGACGATTTATTATTTCAAAATAATCCGGTGCCTTGAAAAACAATTTATATTTTCTTTTACAGCTACTAAAAAATTAAAATTTTGAGTTCTTATCAAGCATTGTGCCCACACGGATATGATTCCGAACAGAATATTATATGAAAGGAGAAAATTAAATAATAATTAATATTTTTTTTGCAAATGTGAAGCATTCATTTAGGCTTTAAAAATTTAACAAGTTTGATTCATTTCAAACTTATAAAAGAAGCTAAGTGAAAGGTTATAAAAAATAATTATAAGCCAAATAAAAATGAAAAAAGCTATTAGGTAAATGATTTTCCATAAAATTTTCTTGACATAGTACTGAAGTAGTTTGCTGTTGCTTTCTCCAGCACAATTATCTACAACACAGCCGCTGCTTCTCGACTTTAAGATGATCAGTTTCGGTGTTTTGGCTTTGACCTGCCTGCCTGCCTTGGGTGGCCGGCCCTGCTAGAAGAATGTACTCCCGACGGTAGGTATAGCCCAAAGCTTTCTCGACACAAGCAAGACCTCCCGCTGTTTATATGCTTTTCCCAAAGGAGAGAAAAGACAATAACTATCAAACTGTTGTATTCATTTCACATACCAATAAATTAATGCTGGAGATAATACAAGCAGCAAGATCGCAACAATACCTGAATAGAGAATTACCAGAGGTACAGGCTGAGAAAAGAAGGTAAGGAAGAGGCACATTTCCAACATAAAACGAATTATTGAAAAAGTAAATGAATACCAAAAGAAGATATTTTTCTGTTTTATTGACTATAGTAAAGCCATTGGCTGTGTCCTCCATGATCTGCTTTTGAAGGTTTTGGAAAAAACCGGATTACCGAGACATTGATAAGTTTAATCAAAAGCTTCTACAGGAATCGGGAAGCAAGTGCGCACAATATATGAAGAAACTAAATCGTTTAATGCCCAAAAAAGAGTGAGGCATTTTATGCTGAAATGGTGAAAGGAAATGCTGAACTAGATGATTTTGAAATTGGAGTCAGAGTTTGTCGATGATACCACCCTCACGGCAGAAAATAAATCACAGTTCAGAGATTTAACTCTAACAGTAAAAACTGTAAGTGAAAAAGCAGACCAACTACTAAATATTGGGAAAGCTAAAATTACGACGAACTGCGGCACAAAAACATTCAATGTTGAGAGAGAAGATTTTGAAATGGTCAAAGAACGTAATTTTTTTGGATCAATGATTAATGGGAAAGGTGAATGCAGCAATGAAATATAATTCTAAGATGGAAGGCAATGAATAATCAAAATAAAATTTAGAGGTCAAAGAAACTTTTCTTGACTACTAAGATGAAGCTGGTTCAAACATTAGTGTTTTCCGTTGTTGCAAATGGAGGAAAAAATTGTAAGGTCAAGAAAGCGGACAAAAGAATAAACGCTTTTGAACTATGATGCTGGCAAACACTTTTGAGAATTTCATGGACCGGAGAAAGAACAAAAAAATATGTGCTGGAAAAATAAAGCCGAAGTTATCATTAGAATCTATGGTCATGAAATGAGGGAGCATAGCTCCTTATAAAAGATAATGATGAAAAAAATAAGTGAAATACACAGAAGGGGAAGACAACATCCAGGTGGGGAGGGTTTGTTGCAACTGTTTGTTGGATCGACTGATTTGACGGTCCAATCGGCTTCACCGCGAGAAGGCAGTTGCTCCAGAGCTAACTAAAACTACAACCAATAGACCTCTGGAGAAACCCAATTGCAGTGGTGGTTTGGCTCCGGCCTCGATTAGAACCCTAGGGGTCCCCCAGAATGGGGCAACAACAACAACAACAACAAGGGGAAGACAAGAAAAAGATAGTTGGATTCAATCATCGAAGACACTAAAGTGAGTCTGAAGGAGAGAAAGAGGTAGATTGTCCATAGGACTGAACCAATGATAATGAAGTAAAAAATTATAAAAAATAACTTTGTGACAAATAAAAATGAGGCTAAGAAATGAAGCGTTATAAAAAATATTTTTGTGTGGACAGTATTTTTTCCAACGACCCAGACTTAAAAATACGTCTGAGGTTAAAACCGCATTTAATCTTTTTCTTCAAGATCAAATGTATCAAGTAAAAAATGTAAATTAATTGTAAAAAAACGTATAAAATGTGAATCAATCCTAACAAATTTTGTATAAAAAAACAAATAAATTAGTTCATTCTGGAATTTAAAAAACCTCTTTGACTGTGACAGGCTTGAGAAATGGCCAAGCATTGTCATTCTTCATGAGCTCACTCACAAGATCTTCTATAACCTTCATTGAAGTATTCGTCTGACGATGATTTGACGGTTTTACTGTTACTGAAGGTGACGACTTTTTACATTTTTTATTTTTTTCACCTGCAAAAGAATATGTTAAAAATTAAAATAATTAAAATATTTGGAACACAAAGAAACGTTTCAAAAATTTATTGAGTAGGTTTAAAAGCTATACATACAAAACTAACAGTTAACATTTTCTTGCTTTGTTTTTGATTTTCTAGCCTTACGTTTGTTCTGACTGTAATCATCATCTTCATCATCACAGCCAGCATGAGTAAACGCTTCAGCATCGTAATCGTCGTCGTCGTCACCACGTTGATGTTCCAAAGTATAATCAAAATCATCTGAATATTTAACACTTTTGCACTGCCTCTTAGATTTTTTCTGAGTTTCAGGCTCTTGTAGAGACAGTCTATTTCTTTTTCGAGACTTGACTGTTGGTTGATTGACAATGAATTCATCATTTATTTTTGGTTTGATAATCTCTCTGCCAGAACGCGTCAGTTTGCATGTTGATGGACTCTTATGGTTCGTCATTTGGTCGTTTGTCGACGATGTACTCGTACAAAGACTTGTTCTGATTGCTAGATTGTCGTTGTTGCAAGCCGTTTTAGAAGTTTGCCTTTTGTCTTGGGCTGAAACAGGAAAAACAACGCGTTATAAACGTGTTACAAACACAGAAGTGTAAAATAAAGTTCACAATATTTTATTGTTTACGCCATTTTATTATATTCCGAACCAAATAATTGAATCAACTAACATTTATTGATCTTAGAATTTTGGAATAATTTATCTCGATGGAGAGACGAATACTGTTCACATGTAGATGTCTTATTTTTCATTGTGGAGCCTCTAAAATCAAGTAAAAAGACAAAAAACAATTATGGCTTGATAAGCTTTTATTGATATCAAACATAATTGAATTTTAATATTAAACATAATTGATTTTCATAGTATAATATTATTAAAGACATATCACCAAATATTGTTTATATATTGAAAGCTGATAACAACTTAACTTGACATGATAATACTTCTCTATCTATGAAAATTTATTCATTTTATTCAAAGAACTGGGAGCCCAGAAGTTATTACTAACTTGAACGGTCTCCGTAAGTATAAAAAACGATATAAATATACATACATATACAGAATGCACATATTTATTTAAATACTTAAAGGACGCACTATTACTCTGCCGAATATGTTTCTATCGACCAAAATGTGTTTCTGTGAATTACCTAAAAAACACCTTGGTTTGCAATATTGTCTACTGAGATAGTAATTCTACTAAGTTGGTGTTTTAACTCGGCCTATTAATGAGTCCATAAAAGACGAAACACGTCTTAGGTGAGAGGGTGTACTTTACGTACTCGTACTGGCTAACCATACTTGCGAAGACTCTGAGAGGCACGCCTACCTTTTATTTTCTATTACACAGAATCAAATTGGTAAACTCTAGTTTGAAGATTGCTGGACTTCGAGTTTGGGATGAGTTGATTCCGTTTGAAATCAAAGAAATAACTTTGATTCATTTATTTAAGAATAAACTTGAAAATGATTTCCAAAAATTCCTACTTTTTATAATAATCCCACATTAAAAGGCAATCACTTTTGTTCTCTTCATTTTCTTTTGCAATTTAAATGTGTTTGTATGTATAGATGGGTGTGAGTGTGCATGATGTATGCCAGTGTGTCCGTGCATGATTGTGTGTGAATGAACATGCCACGCCCTCCCATTCCACTTAGATCTCTAACATTTGATGGAGTGATTTGTGTACTTATATTGTACATATATTTATGCAATAGCTTATTTCATACCAATGTGTTACAATTAGATCTGTGTAGTGTATGTACAGTGTATGTATAGTGTTTTGAGTGGACATATCATGTTGTGAATGTCATTAATTGTTTATTTTATATTATATATTTTGTTAGTATTTGGGCTTGCTTTTCAATTTGCCTTTTCATGTTATATATTTATTGGTAAATTTTTACGTATTTTTATTAAGGCAAAATAAAATCTAAGTGTTTCTGTGTGCATGAATGAGTGCAAGTGAGTATGCATGTGTGTGAGTGGGTATGATTGTGCATGGGTGGGTACGAATTGCCTTAGTGGGTTTGAGTGTGCATGTTTGGGCACGAGTGTGCATGAGTGGTAATGAAAATGTACTTTTTGTTACTGTACATATATGTCTATATAATTATTACACCTAAAATACCTTCTATTTACTAGTTGATGTCAAATAATGTCTTATCTACCTATTTATAATTATTGTATTATTGCTTATGCCAAGCGTTTTGCATGGTAGACTTAGTGACATTTATATTTATCTACGAATAATTTTATTGGTAGATGGATATTTGTATATATTGCATTGCAAGTGACTATCCAACTTGCATATGTAGGTTTTGCTTAGTTTGTTGTGTACATTTAATTTCTGCATGAATGTTTTGATGTGTGTATATATATATATATATACATATATATATATATATATATATATATATATGTTGGTAATAGACCATAATTTTTACAATATTTTATAAATCTACCGAATGTTTGGCGTTAATATGTTTGTAGTTCGTTCTCTCAATTTTTCTCACTAAAGTTTTTTGGTGAACATTTAGTTTATTAAAATTCAAAATAAACATATTTTTCGAATTCATGCTGCAAATAAGGCCATATTTCGATTCCGAATGAATCATCGTCAGTGCTCCTTGCTGTATATATAGGAAAATATATACTATAATATAATATACAAACATATTAACGCCAAACATTCGGTAGAATTTATAGAATATTGTAAATATATATATATATATATATATATATATACATACACATGTAAATGTACATTAGTATTATATGTGTGTGAATACGTGTATATTTGTAAGTGTAACCGTAATTATATATATATATATATATATATATATATATATATATATATATATATATATATATATTTAATGCAAATTAAATTTCTTTCTTTCCTTTCTGTTAACATGGTCCTTTTTAGTTAAGAAACTGCTACAAGTAATTGTTTACTTTTATGTGCTTTTTTTAAAATACAATAAAAAAATAATGTTTAAAAATAACACAAGTCTATTATTTTAAATTATTAATAACCAAAGACCAAGAAATTAGAATTTGCCATTGAAGAACAATTTTCAAAATGAGTCTATTTCTTATGATTACTCTTAATAATGATATAAAATTTAAGCATAAACTCTAAAGTTACATTTTAAATTTAAGAGCTGATTTTTGTTTATTCAGTTAGATAAAATTCATTTATATAGTTGTGTTTAATTTTAAATTATATTTATGAACTAATCGATATATATAATAGGAATATTTATTTTTAATTCATCGATTATCAATAGAAAATTTTCATTTTCAAAATATTCTAAGTGAAAATTTTCACTTGGAATATTATTACATAATTGTTTACTTTTTTTTTAATTTTAATATTAAACAAATAGTGTCATTCTATATACCATTTTTATATATAGATAAATATGTGGTATGGCAAGTTTTACTGCAAAGATATATTATGTGAAGTTCTTCCGCAACTTAAAATTGCAGAAGAACTTTGCATAAACAAAGATAATAAATATAATGTAAAAAATATACAAAAGCCTCTCATGCTGGGGTGCACTGGCCGAGGCGCGTCCCCAGGTGGTGGATAGGGGAAGGTCCTGGACAGGGAGACCTTCTAGGATTGCATTGAATAATACGGAATAAGATGCCGCGAACCAACTGTACTAGAAGAAAGAAGACAATGGTGAAAAAAGCGGAGGATCCTAGGACAACGGTTCCAACAGCAGATGATTTTCTATTCTAAATCCATCGCCTTGTGGAACAGGGACCTTTGACCCAAAGGCTAGGTGCACTGCTTACAACAGTGCTCTCTTGGGCACGAGATCAACTGCAATCGCGCTGCCTCGTTTGCTTCCAGAAAAAACGGTAGGCCCACAGTTTATAACTGGTGGTTGTTGTTAGAAATTGGGCAATTCCAGATGAAAAAATTTTTTGACCCAAACATCTTCCATGTCATCACAAAAAAAGAAAAGATCCCCTATTTCCTGAAAGACCTTAAATGGCCAAAGGGTGACAATATCCAGGAAGTACGCAACAATAGAGGGGTGTTGCGGAAAATCGGGCGTCCCCTCCTGGAATATCAGACTTGGCCCTTCAAATACTGGACGCTCAACGGAGATCGTCGACATGCTGGAAAGGCAAAGGGTTGACATCTGTTCTCTGCAGGAAACAAGATGGAAATCAAATGGTGTCTCTCTCATTGAGACTTACAAGTTGTTCTGGAATGGCCAAAAGACAGCCCAAAATGGAGTGGGAATCTTCTGAACTGAAATGTACTGAAGGTGACTCGAATCAACTCACGCCTAATGCTGATCAAACTCAGAATGGGAAACAGGTTCTGACTGTTTTCTCTGCATATGCACCAGAAACCGGTGAATCTGAAGACGCCAAAAATGACTTCTGGAACACACTCTCAGATACCGTCAGGAAAACACCATCATCAGAGATACCATTGATATGTGGCGACCTCAACGGCCATGTTGGAGATAAAGCAAATGGGTTCCACGGTGTCCATGAAGGCTTTGGCTACGGGCCTCAAAACGAAGACGGTGTACGGATTTTGGAATTTGCTGAAAGCCATGAACTCTCCCTGTTGAACACCTACTTAAAGAAGAGAGCAGAACATTTGATCACATATGTTTGGTGGAATTTTAAAGGAGTCACTTTTTTGAGCTTTTACCAGATAACACAACAATTAATTCGAAAGTCTACTGTCGTCAGCTGGACAAACTGAATGATGCAGTTCAACAAAAAGGTCAGAATTAACTAACAAAAAAGGTGTAGTGTTCCACCAAGATAATGCGATACCTCATTCAAGTTTGGTCACTTGTCAAAATTTTTTGGACTTGGATAGGATGTACTGCCACATTCCCATATTCTCCAGACCTGGCCCCTTCGGATTATTATTTGTTACGGTCACTGCAAAATTTTTTGGATGGTAAAATCTTTACCTTAAATGAACACGTCAAAAATCACGTGGATAAATTTTTTGCCAGCAAAGACCAAAAATTTTATGAACGAGGAACAATGCTACTAGCAGAACGATGACAAAAGGTGTTGGATCAGTATGGCAAAACACATTTTAATTTAATTAATTAAATTTAATTAAATATTCATTCATTATACGAAGATTGTTTTTCATTTTCACCACAAAAAACGAAATAACTTTCCGAACGACCCTATATTTACTAGTGCTTTATAAATTTTAAAACAGAAATTACAATAACTATAATAATAATACTAAATAATAATAATCTCCAATGAGAAAGAGAAAATCAAGTTATCAAAAATTCCATTGAAATGTTAAGAAGGCCTGGAAATGGGATAAACAGTGAACCAACTTAATTCAATATATATCAACATTGTACACGAATAAGATTGTGGAAAGAATGAGTCCAACATACTCTGAACTTGTTTTATCATCCTGATCGGCCAAAGCCCATATTCCATCGTTGCCAGTTTCTGCAACATTATTGGTAGCAGCAGAAGATTCATTAGCCTCATCATCGCAATCAGATTCTAAATCTTCGTACTTTATGTTTTCAGTCACTTTGCGAGGACAGACGACGATAGAAAATTCTTTTGGTCGGCACATAGGGCAGTACCAGTCGCCTTCAGGAATTTTCTATATTTACAAAAATAAATTTTTTAATTTGTCAGGACGTAATCACAAAATTAAAAAATACAAGAGTTTGATAATTTGAATCAATTCAGCATCTGAAAACGACAAACTTTGAGAGGAGGTTTTAGGCAGTACATGTGGTGTCCTTGATCACAACCATCGCAGAGCAACATCAAGTCAGCATCCTTCTTCTTTCTGCAAATTTTGCATCGAGCATTTAAAGCTGACTTGCTCCAAGCAATGCTCATATCAAGAAGAACTGTACAGAGATACAAGTGGGAAAAGTTGTTAGAGCCCTCTACACAACTCAACCACTTAAATAGATTACTACTGTTATTAAAATGGTTGCTGCTGTTAACATTACTGTCGTTACAAATGTTGACGTTGCCTGAGTAGTCATTTGTCAGACAGTTTATATTATTGAAAGTATCACAATTGTTGCTGATACTATTAATGTTAAACCCATTGTGTGAAACATCGCCACCAGAAACGCAACTTTTATTTAAAAGCTTATTTGTAGAGTTGTTAAGTGAAGTAAGGCTGCCTATTGTGTAACCATTTTTTGATTTGATATCCATTCCTTTAAAAACATGATTAGTATTGGTGTCCATTTCATCTCCATAATTTGCTGAAATAAGATTAACATAAAAATCTGTTTAAATGATTTGCACTTATGACAATGACTGTTAATTTTTTACACAACATATTTGTTATCTTAATTATCTAAAATATCTCGATCCATCAATAAAGAATCAGTTATGCAGATTATAGTACATTTTAAAATTTTTAGTTTCTAAGTTGGATTCCATCCAGTCGGTAATATTTTTTACTTTGGACAAATTAAAATTTGATTACTATTGTACAAGCAAAACCTGTATTTAAATACAAAAACTTTAACAATCACTACTGACCTTGTACCAAATGATATTGATCCTGTTGTTCAATTTGTTGTTGCTGTTCAAGTACTTTTGTTCGTTTCAACTTAGTTTCTTCATTTTCACCTATTTTAAGAAATTCAGCTGAACACATCATTTTATTTTTCATCAAAGGTCAATTTAATTCATCTTGAAAGAAATTTAACCAATCAAAAAATTTTCAAATAGCTAATTTTTCATTAACAATTAAGCAATGGTTTTTCATGAATGAGAAAGAATTAATTAAGAAAAAATAATTTTAGAACCTGGTAAAATAAAATATATATGATCTCATATTAAAAATAAACTAAACAATAGTTGATGAAATTAAAAGTTATATTAACCAAGTGGAGGCAAGAGATATTTCTCTTCAATCATCTGTTGTATATCGACCATCATCTTCATCATCTTTTTCAAGTTTTTCTTGTTGAATCTCATTTGTGCATCATCAACATCAATGTCATCATCAACCGTACTATTACTGCCACTGTACATACAAGGTTGTTCATCTTTCAAACTGAATACAATTAAGAAATACTGTCTGATAACATATTCAAGCCCTTTCATTCATTTAAATTTCATTAATATCATTAAATTTCATTAAATATTGACATTGCATATTTTTTACCTTGAAAATGTGTGTGAAAATTGTAAAACGGAAATAAACAAAATAATTTTTATTTTCTGAAAGATACATTTCTTGAAAATAAAATTTTTGGGCATGCCTCATTCATGAGTGCACTTTAACTTTAAGATTCACAAAACAGATATCTTTGGTAGACCAAATTGGAATATAACGCATTCTTATAATGGTTATCATTTAATGTACTTTTCCAGAATATTATAAATTTTTTTGTTATTCTAGAACTGAAGACTAACCCTGCTTGACCACCTTTCATCTGCTCATCTGTACATTCCAACTCCTTTCTCCATAAATCTCTATCTAAATCCTTATCAATTACAAATTTTACAAACATGCAATATAAAATCAATAAATTATTAACATTTGAAATTAATTCGTTATAATTTCATTTTTATTTTAGATAAATAAAAAAAACCTTTAGTTGGCCTAGACTTCCAGCAAATATTCTTTCTTCCAGATCAAGCAACATGTCTGCAACACACCTCATCAATTCCAATTCACCAGCTATACCTCCAAAATGTTCAACACAACTTTTTTTAGACTTTGTATTGTTAACTTTATGCTTTGCATCAACATTGTTATGATCAGCTGACTCATTTACCAGAGGTTTGCTCTCATCACAAGAAGCATTTTTTGATGTAATTGACCTTTGTTCACACAATAACCAATCAAAAATGTGTTCAACGATGTTATTGCTAATGTCGCTTTTATTTGTTGAAAAATTGCTACTATCATTAGCATTTGTGCTAAAACTAATAACAATTTTATCACGGTTGTTGATAAGGTAGGTTCTCAACAAATTCTCTCTGTAACCTCTTCTATTGAGTCTTTCAATGAGAGCATCTACTTGTTGGGCGCTATTAAAAGCAGACCATTCAACAGTATTTCTAATTCTCAATTGTTCATTAACATTCATGTATGACAACGTTTTAGAATTAGTTGCCGTCGTTTCATTGGACGTTGATTTATTAGAATTAACAGTTTCTGTAATTTCTTTCTTGATGTCAGCAATAAAATATTTATCAATAGTGTTGGTACTTTTCTGTTCATTACTTGAACCAATTTTGTTCCCACTAAGTGCCGCCCTAAGACTCATTTCAATTCTTGTTTCATTCTGTTTGATGGGCAACAGACAGCATCGAGGTACTGTCCAGCTGTGAACTTTTGAATCCTCTACAAACAATCCAGGAACTGATCTAAACCACCAATATCGTCTGTAAGTACGGTCGGTGCCAATGGGGGTTAAGAAACATTCTGACTGAAGGTTATCCACAATTTGTTGTAGTTCATTTTGTCGCCTTGTTGACCAGTTTCGAATGTGATCCTTCTCCTCTTGACTCAGCTGATCCCAATCAATCCCTTCGACAGGCATTTCTTCAAAGTCTTTGTCCTTCAAATCCAATATGGATATCTTCTTCTTTGTATTCGCACTATTTTGCTCAGCTGGTTTACTAGTTGAAAATTGATTTATAACATTATTCATATATTACAATTATGTTATTGTAATTATTCATATAAAAATAAAAAATTACTCTGTTTTTTTGTGCGATTTCATCGTGCTTTCTTCTTCTTGTTTCTTTTTCAAACTGTTGCAACGTAATATGAACAATATTTACAGCTATGACAACAGGAGCAAAAACAAACAATAAACTTGTCTAAAAAAAACGTCTAGCATGTGGTTCAAAGAACCAACGTCTGCAGTTTCCATTTTAAATTTGTTTTTGTTTCTGATTGATTTTAAAAAGAATATTTCCATTTCATTCTTGGATTTTTTGTTGAGCGAAACTTGGTTCACATTTACTCTTGCCTTGTATTTTTTATTTATAACTTATTGCCTTTTTAATTGACAAATTTGAATTTCGCTCTTCGACTTTTCAAAGAAAAATAGCAGTGGGCCAGTCAATAAAGAAGAAGAGAGCAAGGGAGGTCTCTCCTTCAAGGCTGCTTCCACCACAGCCAGGAGAACCAATGTCACAATGCCACAAAGACCTGTCAGAGAGCCACAAAACTCGGCTACCGATCATGATTTCAGAAAAACTTGTTTTTAAAATTTGCAAAATTTTTAAACCAATGTTTGAAATTCAACCGAGAATACCCAACAAAATTAGTGAAGAAACTCAACAAGATGAACTCTTAAAAATAAATTCCATTTTAAATGAAAAAGTTGAATGTTATCTGCATAAATTTTTTACACGAACAAAGACGTCATTCAAACCACAATTTTCAAATAATGTTCTGAGCAAGAAACAAAAGAAGAATTAGAGGAACAAGGGGTGATTGATATTTCTAACATAAAAATAACAACACACGTTTAGACGACATTTTCCCCGAGATCGGAGGTTGCCGTTTGGCTACCTATGATGAAACCGAAATACTCCTCGACGCCATCCACATTTGTCACTCGCCTCAGTATCACGCAACCCAGCTTTCACCCTGTCCTTCTCCACCTGCTCTCTCCGTCCCAATCGCGGACGACCCCTTCCTACCACTCCTTCCTACCTATCATTTCTAAAATAAAAATAACAAAAGACAAATACAAACACTTCTATTCTAACATTCAACAGCCCGCAAATTCCAGAAGAAATATAAGTTTGTTCTTCTTCTTTCTTGTGCCTTATTCTTTCAGGACACTGGCGACCATGGATCTCAACAAAACTCTATCTTTAAACACTATGTAGCAGTAAAAATGTGGTGATATTCAAAAAAAGTGGTGATATTCAAAAAATTTTATTACCAATCAATAAAAATTGAAAAATTTATCCCCCACCGACGTGATGCACAAGGTATCAGAAATATAGACACTGCCATAGAAAAACTAAAAAGAATTGACAACATAACCCGGCAGGTTTTCAAGAAGCGTTTAAAAAATTATCTGTTCAACAATCCACATTGGAGCCAATGCTTCTGAGGTTCTTTCAAGAGGGGCGCTATACAAGTCATGCGATGCAAGTCATGCAATGCAATACAATACAATTGATATTTTACACCAAGAAAAAAATTAGAAATGAATCAACAAATAAAATATCATGAAGATTGTTGTAAAACAAATAAACAAAACAAAATCCGTATCCGTTTTCCACTGATGAGAGCATGGGTGATGTTGACCCCAGAAGATATGGTTATTAGTAACAACATCAAAACAAGTAAAAACACCAGAAATAAAAATGACTTGAAACAAAAAAAGACAATAATCAATAAACAAACTATAAAGAAATCCGATTTCAAACACGTTATTTTAGATGAAAATTCTAACAAAATCAGAATACTCCAATGGAATATCAAAGGAATGAAAAGCAACTTACCTGAACTGCAGACCTTTTTATCCAAGTACAATCCACATATCATATGCCTCCAAGAAACTAAGCCAACGGAAAAAAAACAAATGAAACTGAAAAACTTTATGGCTTTCCATAAACCAGTTATTTCAACAAAATTAAATTCATCAGCTGGATTATCGATATGTAATCATGACAAAATTATACAATCTCCTGTTCATGTAACAACTGATGATCATTTCACTACCCCAAAAATAACAATCTCCAACAAATCCATAATATGCAATAGATATATAAATCCGAACTTATTAATTAAATCAGTAGAATAAGAAAAGATACAAAAACAATTACATAAACCCTATGTCTTACTAAGCGATTTCAACGGTCACAACCAAAGTTGTTGATGCTCAACTTCAAATAACCAAAGCAAACATTTTGATAAAACAACAATAGAAAATGATCTGTACCTATCAAACCAATAAAATTAACATTGTAACAATTATATCTTCCACAATCGACTTAACAATGACAACTCCATCTATTTTTGAAATTATGGAACGGGAAGTTGAGGATGATCCACATGGCAGTGACCCCAATAATTCTGTCCTTCAGAAATTAAACAATAAATAAAGAGTCCGAAAAATTGAACTACACACAACAGAACAGATTTGGTTAAATTTAAAAAATCACTGATGAAAAAAAAAATGAAAGATTTAGACATAATTGATGATGAATCAATCAATGAATAAATGAATAGAGACAATAACAACTACCATAGGCCAAACAACACTGGTAATAAATAACAGAAAAGCTAAACTTTTGAAACTCTTGTAATTAAACAAAAACAAAGAGCATTAAAAACTTTAAAAATAACTACAATTAATTCAATCTTATGAATTATGAAAAAAATCAAAGCAGAGGCATGAAGATCCGTGTGAAAGAGGAAAAAACACTGCGGAACTCATTTGTTAATAACCTCAAAGCCAGCACCTCTACAAAGTATGGGAAATGATCAGAAAAATAAAAACAATTCTAATAAAACAGCCACATATTTAACAACAAATTGTACGTCGCTGATTAAGAAATATCAAACATCCTGGGGCTTTCAGCAAAATTCCAAAAATCTAAGCTATAAATTTACAAGCATAGAATCAATAAAAAAAAGAAAAATTTTATATTTCAATTCAAATAATCTGGAAATATACAACAAAAAGTAACCATAAAAGAAATGACATTAGAAATTAACGATAGTAAGAATTCAACTCCAGGCCCAGATAAAATATCCTACAAACTATTAAAAAATTTTTTTAAATTGCACTCTCCACACTCTTAAAAATTCACAACTACATATGGATCGACACAAAATTTCCAAACATAATGGCTACCAACTATAACTGTTCTGTTAAATAAACCGAACCCAAAATACATCCTGATAATTACAGACCAATATCCGTGACCTGCTGCCAGAGTGTCAGTGTAGGTTGGAGATTTTTGCCGGAGTCAGATTTTTTTTATCTGATTCAGAAAAATGTTTGAAAATTAAAATTTTTTAATTTTTTATGAATTTTTTTTAAGATAGTGTGAAATTGTGACAATTGCGATGATTATGATTGCATGATTGAAATATGCCGCCTGTATATTTTGTAAAATTGTGACGATTGCGATGATAATGATTGCGTCTTTGAGGCGTGCCGCCTGTATATATCTATATATTTTAATAGACATTCTATGTATGTATATCTTGTTATTTGATATGCTATATATGCGATATATGCGACGCTGCTATGTTCTGTTTTGTATATAGGGAGTATAGCAATATATGCGACGCGTGCTACGTGCTGTTCTAAGTATAGAAAAGAGTACAGAAGGGAGTATAGAATTTTCTATGATATAGGAAGCGTTATGTAGATAGGGCGGAAAAAACAAATAAAAGGCCGCGAGTTGAGATATAGAAGGTCGGTCGTTTTTTTTTTATTATTTATTTTAGGTTTTGTTTTTAGCTTGGTTTCGTTCTGGTATCGCTTGATAGTTTGCCTGACAGTTATAGTATTAATAGATTGTTAATTTTGGATTTGTCGCTTGTTAATAAAGACAGAGGTTTGATTTGTACTATTTTGTTTTTATTGAATAAAAGAAGTGTACTTGAAATTTGGCTCGGCTTAATTATTTTACCTAAAATAATGTATGTTGAAGAAGACTTGCTGATAGTTGACGAGGTCGGCGTCTCTCTAGTCAACAAGCAGGGCGCGAACAAACTTCCACCCGGCCCGTGTTTTTAGACCCTGAGAGGGTCTATGTAGAGTGGCGGATCCCGGCCAGGAAAGACTCCGCCGAGGTGAAGGCTCGGGTGGATATTCGTATGCGGACGCGGTTCGGGACCGCGTGGTGCGGAATTCGAATGCCGCCCGGCCAAAATCTACAATAGTACTATTTAGAAGACGAATATGTGTAGCGATAAGCAATCATTCTTAATACTAAAATAAATGTCAATAATCTGCCAATAATCATTATGCTTTAAAGCATAAAAATAAAGTGATTTTTCTAAGAAAAACAATTACATTGTCTGGTTTTAAGTGTTTATAAATTTTTTTGTTAGTATGATAATAGGATAAAATTATGATACAAAAATTTAAAAATTTTTCAAGAAGTCAAAACCCGGAGTCAGAAATTTTTATTAGCAGTTTGAATTTTTCATCTGACTCTAACACTTAGCCCGCTGCACATGCAAAATCATGGAAAAAATAATAACCAACAGACTAGACTTGGTTTCTTAAAACAAATTAAATAATATCATATATACAATGTGGTGGAATCAAAGGAAGATCCACATCAGATCACATAGTGTCATCAGAAGCTCACGTAAGACAAGCCTTACACCAGAGTGAGCAGGTTACAACATTATTCTTCAACATAGAAAAAGCATATGATTCATCACGAATATTTGGGATAAATTGCATAAAATAGGACTAAGAAAGTGTATGCTAAAACTCATTCAGTTTCCTATCAAACCGAACATTTCAAGTTAAAACTAACAACTCTCTCTCTCTCTCTCTCTTTCTCTTTCTCTCTCTCTCTCTCTCAGAAACAATGTAATAGACTCTGGCACTCTTCAAGAAAGCATTCTGACACTAAAGTTGTTTTGTCTAAATTTAGACGGCATAACATAAGTAATTCCTGCAACATGCAATGGTTTGCCTTTACATGGATGACAATGTTCAGCTTTTGATTTAGAATTTACTTAAAAAATACTTAAAAAACATTCAAAATCAGACAATTGTTCTTCTTAGTAAAATTACTTTTTATCTGTGTTTCAAAACATAATGAAAAAAAAAAAATATGTGATTTTATTCACATTATTAGCATTTATTTTCAATACAGATGATTGCATATTGCTTTGCATATTTATCTTCTAAAAAACAATATTACAAACATATTTTCAGCATAAAAAATAAGTTTTCAATATTTAGAGCACTTGTAGGAGTCAGATGAAAAATATCCAATTCTGACTGGCCCCTCAAAAAATTCCAACTCAGAATTCTGATTTCCAGAAAATTTTTTGAACTTTTGTATCATAATTTCACTTTAAATATCACTACAAAATGAAACTCTTTGAAAACCTCCAACCCTGACATATTGTTTTCTACATTTCTTTACACTAACAAAACCTTGACTGTCTACAGTAAAAATGCCAAAAGCAGAATCATTTTGGCATAAGCTACTTGATATTCACAAAATTTCTCAGGTCTTTCAATAAATCGCAAGTTATGGATTGTTCAAGCAAGCCAAGTCGAGCAAACAGAATACTGAAGTATTATAAATATTAAAAGAAAACGAGCAATGCTCAAGTCAAGCTGCCATCCCGAATCCAAGAAAATTAACTGACATGTACAATATAGGGGTCTCGTGGCCGAATGGTTGGCGAGCCTGTCCACCCCGCAGTTTCATCCGGGTACCCGACACCCGGCCAGCCCAGCCGTCCATCCTTCCGAGGTCGGTAAATGGGAAGATGACGTAAGTTGTCGCCTGTTGGCCGGCGAGATGGCTCAGTGGTTCAAATGTGCGCCGAGTCAAACATCTCAATGGCTTCAGCGTATATGATGCGGTGCTTGCGCGTGCACATAAATACATGTGTACGTCGTGTAAAAAGGATAAACAACTTTTGTGGCGAAGATGGCTGCTTCAAATCAATGGAAAGTGGTTCTGCGTATGTCGGAGCTGCAATGATAGAGACTAAAAAAATATAAAAACTGAGCAGGACTTTAGGGCTTGAATTGGTATTATTAGCCAGCTCCGAACTCCAAACAACCAGCTTGCTAATAAAGGATATCATAATGGGCAGAATTCGTTTGGTGTAAAGTAAACATACCTCAATTTCTTGGCTGAAAGAGAGGAAAAACTTCTTTTTTTGTTATATTTCAATAGTAAAAGAATCTTTATTTTTACCAATGCTATTTGTTTTCTTTGTTTGTTTGTATTATTATAAAAAAATTGTTAGCATCTCATCAGAGCTTACAATCTCCTGACAACATGAAAGCAAATAGTTGTTTACCAACTTTTTATTGAACTTTATTACTTACTAATATAAAAGCAAAGACATACACATCTCTGAATCAGCTATTAAAAACTTGAAAAATCGGTAATAAATTGTGGTTCAAACAGAAATTTTTTATACAAATACATTTCAAAATCAATTTTAGAATTTATTTAATTTATATTTTATTTTAAAAATTAGTTCTACTTTTATTTTTATTTTCCTAGTTGAACAATTTCTTCAAAATGGCTAACTGTTGCTTTCATTGATGACAATTAAAACACATCATTGATGACAATTAAAACACAATGTAAAAATTTAAAACTTGAACATGCTAAAATAGACAGAGATAAATGGGCAGAATTACAATAACAGTAAAACATAATAAATAAGAAACATTAAAAATTAAAATAGCAGGTGATTCGAAACAAAATTATAGTAACGGCGGCAAAAAATGAGCTCATGAAATGAAGAACAGACTTGTAATTGAGGAAATCTTTCTCCCTCCTTTGCACAGCATACACGTGAGCCCTCAAATCCTTTTGCACATTTTTCAGTTTGTTGTAATTCTCTTCAATGAGATCTCTACAGGCAGGCAGACTAAGAACCTGTTCTATCAGATTTGCCAACAAAACCAATTTTTCGCCTGTTCAATTTTAATAAAAAAATATTTTGAAACAAGGTTACTGGAGAGCACTGGTATCACCCCACCTCTGCATGATTAATATTTTCAGAAGGATGTGAAACAACAATATAGATAATTTTTAAATCATGCTAGTGATAATGTGCAGGCGATTGATATACTCAATAAAAAAACCTATTGTGATTCCTGTTGTAAACCAATTGAACGAATTAAACTATGCAAATTTTTTGAAAACGTTCAAAATGACAGGAGATCAAAATTTATAAGATGGTTGTTTCAAATGCATACACGTTTGAAAATAGTTTAATTTTGTTCACAGAAATAAATCCTCAAGAATAAGCAACATAGCAGAAAGCATAAATATATAAGCATATATAGACAATTAATAAATAATGCCAGCCAGCCCCAGCACCTGGTTTCAAATCAAGAATGTTTCCAACGCTTAACTTCTTCATTATTTCTGGATAATTTCGACTGAATTCTGAAGCTTTGTATTCCGCTTTTATATCATTGAAGCCATCTGATTGGTTAGATGAATCATCGCCAACCAATAGGTGAAGTCGAACTAATTCAGTCAAAGATGATGTGTCCATTGGAAGACATTGTAATGGAGATTCTAAACGAGATTAAATACGCTTGAAAAGTGAACATCAAAATAAATTAAAAAACTTATTAAAAAAATTAGAAACTAAAAATTTTTTATTTTAAAATTTAAAAACATCGAACTAGAATAACCATTAAATGTTTTATTGGATTTCAATTTCTTGATAGTGCTTACTGATTGGAATAACTTTATGAGGACCATGCCATCCTGGACATCTTGATCGTCTGTTCAGTTCATGTAGTTTGTCCATATGAATTGAATTTTTAAAATTTTCGAGCAAAATCAAAAACATTCTAATTGTCAACATAAGCAACTGCATCATCATAGTATCAACATTGTCGACAATAATTCTGTCCATTATTTGAAATAACATTTTTATCATTCTCATTTAGAGTAACAACATGCCAAAGCATCGTTAATGAACACTATTACAGTATCGTTAATGAACACTATTACAAATACCATGCAAACAAGACTACAAAGATAAAAATAAGTAGTACAGTGTACATAAAGGGGAGTACTAAACAAGAACAATATGTTGAGTTTTTACTTTTTATGATTAACATTTGATTAATTCTAATAAAGCTTGCATTTAGCCCCACAGGCTCATCTACATTATGTTCATCTTATTGCTCTTGACTTTTCTATAGCTTTTGACACTCTCAATCACATTTCACTTTCAAATAAGTTAGCCTCTCTTCCTCTACCCGACAACATTTACAATATTATAATAAATTTTCTTACTAATAGGAGTCATTCTACCTTCCTTTGCCCTACTCTTTCATCTACTCTACCTATTAATTCTAGCGTAGTTCAAAGTTCTGTCCTTGGACCATCTACCTTTATCATCAATGCTTCTACTCTCAAAACTCTTCATAGCACTAATCAAATCAACAAATACGCTGACGCCACCTACTTTATCATCCCATCATCTAACACATACTCCCCTTGTGCACACTGTACTACTTATTTTTATAAGTAACACAAACACCATCCAGTCAGAACTCCACTCATTAACCACATGGTCAAAACAATGCAATCTGTCACTTAACCTCAATAAATCATTCGAACTAATCATTCACAAAACAACAACAACAACACAACACACGTTTAGACGACATTTTCCCCGAGATCGGGGGTTGCCGTTTGGCTACCTATGATGAAACCAAAATACCCCTCGACGCCATTCGGATACTGAGGGCCATTGTCACTTCTGTCATCATAAGTAATTTATTTGGCTAATTTTTACGCAGGACGCCCTTCCTTACGCAACCACAGTTATAAGCGGTGGGCCTAGTCTTTGATGATCCAACATCACTCACAAGGCAGTGAGGGTCAGTTTAATGTCATAACCAGGACATTAATCATTCACAAAAAAAAAAAAAAAAAAAAAGTAATGGAAGTAATGTTATTTTCTTACGGCTTTTTTTTTTTTTTTTTTTTTTTTAATCATTCACAAAAGCCGTAAGAAAATAACATTACTTCCAAAACACCCATCAATCACTCGCTAAATCAATTTAAAATATTAGGCACCACATTGACCTCCACATTTAATATAGCACCTCATATCAATCACATCATCACAAAGGCTTTAAAACATGTCACGCACTCAAAACACTCCGCTCACATGATTCAGAGGCATCAAATTATTCGACATCACTGAATCACTCATAACCTCACGCATCAAATATGCGGCTCCCTCCTGGTCTGGTTTTGCTACAGAACAACAACTTCAGCAACTACAATCTCTCATCTAAAAACTAATCCGCTTTAACTATATACCTGCATCATATCCTACCGTCACTCAGATATTCAACACGCTCGATTCAAAACTGTTCAAGAAAGTGGAAAAAATCAACAACCACGTCATCCATCTTCTAACCACCAATCAAAACTGCTACACACAACCTTCGTCAAACGAAGCATAACTATCACAAGATACCTCAAACATATTAGCACTCAATAAAACTTTATCATTTACTCAATCTAGTTTTCTTTTTACTTATCGATCACCTCACTAACTCACTAAGTCATTATCTAGTCCATTAATAAATTACTTTATTTTTTTCAATTTTTTCTCCGTATTTCATTTAATCATTCATTTATTTTTTTCGTTACCATTTTTTTACTATTGCCTTGCATGCTGTAACAGTTTCTGCATCTGTCAGATCCTGATTTTTTAAAGAATAATAAAAAATTCTAACATTTGTAAGCAGCTTTCCAACTGGAGTTGAGTTCAGGAAGTCCACTTTGCATCTGGAATATGACTGCCAGAAGTTGTTGGATGAGGTCAAGGTAAAGAGTGGGACTGTGTTGTTCGTACAGAGATTCAACTAGTGAAACTAAAAACAAAATAAAACAAAGTTTTAAAAATGACCATATCCAACATAAACATCTAAATTAATCAAACGAATAATAACAAAACCAACCGATATTAAAATTATTGGGCAGTTCCAGTTCACAAAGAGCTTTGAAACCATATATGAACTCCATAATCATCACAGCATTGCCAAAATCATCACCAGACATTTTCAATGGTATAGGCACTGGTAAATCCTATAAAAGGAAATAGTCATGTAAGATGTAAGTGGTCATGAGGTAATGGTCAATTTTTATTGTTGGAAAACTACCGATCTAACTGGCTTAGAATATTCCAATTAACAGTTTTTAAGTTCTGAAAAGTATATAACCATGGTTATTTGCTCAACCCTCAATTTAGTTTTCTTCAATAGTTTTCTTTTTTCTTATCGATCACTTAACCAACTTACTAAGTCATTAACTAGTCTATTAATAAATTATTTTATTTATTTGTCTTTTTAAACCCTTACTTTATTCTATTTTCCATACTTTTCATGCCTAAACATTTTTTCTCTGTAACTTATTTTTTGTTATCATTTTATAAAATTGCCTTGGCATGCCGTAACAGTTTCTGTGTTTGTCAGATTCAGATTTTCAAAAGAATAAAAAAAAGGAAAAAAAGTAGAGGCTGATAAACAGAGGAGAGCGATATTTTTATAAAAATTAAACACTCCATGAGTTATTTAATGGAATTGTAAAGCAAAGGCTTTTAACAATGCAAATACGTTAATCAAATAAAGTACTGTTGTTTTATTTTACTTCTAATTATTAAACTCTCCCGACATCAAGGTGAACCGTTCAGTTATTTTTAAAAGCAATGACTAACTATAATGTGGAGTTTTTGTTTCGTGCTCGAATTATGTGGAGCAATTGATTCGGCAAAATACGAATGACTACTCGGTGCATTATTATGCAATTACCACTTACAGACAACTGACAAAGTCCGGCTATAACTCGCACAGGGGAATTCTACAATGATGTGTTTGCTTAGGAATAGGTTTTTTAAGAGAAAGAACGTAGGCATGGTTTTAATTTGCTCCACCCTCAAAAAGGGTCGGTTCGGCAAGGAACGGATTTTTGATAAATTTAAAGGTTGAAAACAAACTAATTGGATTGAAATTGAGAAAGGTTTTTCTAAATGATCTCATTTAGTTATCAACTCATCCCTCCAAAAGAGATTGACCTTATTCGGGGATGGTAGATTTTTAATGAAAGCTTAGGTTAGAAAACTACTTATCTAACTGGCTAGAAATTTTGTAAAAAAATTGTTCGTGAGTACTGCAAACAACAAAGAAAATCGTTAAAATCGGCTCCACCGAAAAAGGTTGGTTAAGTGGACAGACAATTTTCTCTATAATTAAACTAAATAAAAAAGGTGAATAAAGTGGTTTGAGTGTTGCAGGAAAGGACCAATTTCATATAAATAATAATATAATGATATCATTTCATATAGCGCCATGGCAAGCGACTGAGGCACATTACTATTATTATTACAGCAAACACAGAGTGTATTATTAATAAATAAACTGGATCAGCACATCACACACTTCTGCATGTGATAGGTTGGGTGGGGATCACTTTACATTCGAACCCGGACACTGCATCAGCAATGCCAGGCACCCTAACCATTGCACCGTCGCACCACCCAAATCACAGTATAATGATGCTATAGTAACTGAAATGGAATGAAAAAACAAACCAGGAGATCATCACATAACATGTCATCTCTCTGCTTCGACCATTCTTTTTCTGTTTGCTTCTTATCTTGTTCTTTTTTCTGTAACTTAATTGACATGTTACATATAGGTGAAAAAACATTCAAGGTGAGCAAGAAAATGAGAAAATGAATAATTTCTTCCTTACATTAAGCACCGCCTCCTTCTTTTCGGAAACCTCTGAAAAATAACAATCACTCGATCAAACTATAATAATTTTGTATCAAATATCTGAAAACGTCATTTATACTAGATGTAATTAAACTCACCATTCATATCTCCATTTGACAGATTTTCTGATCCTGAAAAGTTAGGAATAGGACCAGCAAAATAATCACTAAATTTAACATTTTGGAGATTGTACTTTTTTATTATTGCATCCTGTTGTGGTGTAATGTTTGAAACACATTATAAAACAGATACGGCCAACTGTTTTTAATTACAAGCCAAAGTAGACAAAAATATTTTAGTAAGTCAAGTAAAAAAGCACAAAAAAGCACTAAAAATAATAATTAGAAAGACAAACAAAACAAAAAACACAAAAAATCATTAAAAATAAATTAAACATTGTGAATGACAATATTATTTTTACAATGCAGATTAACATTTTATTATGAACTTTTGGTGACATTTAAAAAATAATGCTTTCTATAGTTTTTTTATATTCAAAAAGACTATCAGCATGCTATTTTTGTGAAAAACGAAAAAATTTATAGAAAATAAATTAAATATCGTGACAATATGAACTGTACAATAATAATAGACAATATGACATACTTGGAGTAAAAATTTGGGTAATTTATGCTCCTTAGATTGTTTAAAATTTATAACCAAAACTTATTTTCTTGAAAATAAAAAAAATTGGCAAAAAACTAAACACCGAAAAAATTATATTTTTTATAGCTATTGTGAGCATGTTGATGAATCTGTTAAAAATCTGAATGGATTATCATCATCGCTATATTTTTTAAATAGAGCATTGCTTCAGCCGTACAAATGCATATTAGGGGCTGTTTAGCCTGCAAGGCCAACTTTGTGCGCCTATGTTTTAATATTTAATATTTTATTTATTCATCAATTCAAATCAAACAATTGTAAGAAATGAAAATGATACGGAGATCAAAAAAGAAAAGATCTTATGATAGACCACCGTTAAACAGAAAAATTTCATTTAAAATAAAGAAATAGACATTAATACAAACATAACTTTAAAATTAAACTTGCGTACAGGCTACAAAAAATATTGACAATATAATGGATTGAAACATGTTTACATATAAACACAATTATACACATGCACACATACACACACATTTATACATTCCTAATCCTATAACAACATATATATATAACCCACATATATGTATAATAACGTAGCATACCTAAATAGTGATATCATGTGTACAGGATAAAAGAAAAGTTTTATTACGTTTGGTTACACTATATGATAGTTTTCTTCACAATTTGAAAAGCAAGAGTCCTACATTTATATCAATTTGTAAAAGGTAAATGGGATTTAGTTAACGTCGTTATATTATGGAATTAACACCGAAATAGTCTTATAATTTTATAAAATATAAAAATCAATTTAATCTCTGATTTATATCTATTTGAAATAAATTTATTGTTCTTAAATTTCATAAATATGCACAAAATATCTATCTCTGTAAAGGCAATATTAGTAATATAGTAGAAGCCTGTTTACTAGACTACAGGTTAAAAGCCGGTCTTAGGAACCAGTCTTTTGGGAATCAAATCCAACTTTGAAAGCCTAATTTACTTCATCTTATCAAACTAAATTGTTAACAAAAACCATTTTAATTGAACAGCAAACTTGACAGTCTTAATAAAATGTAACCTGCCAACAAAGGAGACGTGAGTTATTTTTCTTTAGCTTGATTTAACTTTTTTAAATAAGTGTTAGCTAATTTTAAAATTTAATATAAAAGCTAATTACATTGTTTTATTAAAAGTGTGCATTGCATTACATTGTCTAGTCTAGTGTGTTATGCATACTTTAAACTGAATATTACCAGAGAGTGAAAAATGCCGAATATTCGATTGAAGCTAAGCTTACATGTCTGCATGAAAAAATGTTCGACTACGTACTTCGACTAACACCAACCTAACTCAAATGTGTAGGGTAAGGATGGATATTAGAAATGCACATGCGATTCATTGTGATTAATAATAATAGAAACACAGGCACTTGAATATATCATTTCACTTTTTCACACGTTTAGACGACATTTTCCCCGAGATCGGGGGTTGCCGTTTGGCTACCTATGATGAAACCGAAATAGCCCTCGACGCCATTCTGCCGGATACTGAGGGCCATTGTCACTTCTGTCATCATAAGTAATTTATTTGGCTAATTTTTACGCAGGACGCCCTTCCTTACGCAACTACAGTTATAAGCGGTGGGCCTAGCCTTTGATGATCCAACATCACTCACAAGGCAGTGAGGGTCAGTTTAATGTCATAACCAGGACATAACTTGAATATATCTACCATAGAAGCTAAACGTTGCAAATGTGCATATCATGATTATAAAAACCTTAAACATTAAACAGCCAAAATAATATAAATTTTGATTTGAAGAACCACACATTCTCAAAGAATGTAAATCCACTGTATATTAAATAATAACAATTAAAAAATTGGAAACATTTACAATGGTATATTTTTATAACAACTTACTTAAAACATGATTCTTGAAAGTTGAAAGCATTTCCTTTTTATATAGCATTTGAAAAATGATTATTTTATTTATGGAGAGCATTTTTGTAACTACCCTAAATTTTAACGAGACAGAAAAATTAATTACTGTGTGAAACCTGCAGGTCATAATATATATAGCTGTCTGCTCTAACAGTTTGCATCAGAAAAGCCAACAGCCAACATCACAAGAGAAATATAAGAGTTAAAGGATGTGACATTAAATTCAAGAGAAGATATGGTTTAACCATTCAAAAAACATTGAAAAGTCTGATGATGATAATAATTATAATTACTGTTCTTATTATTATAATAATAACTATTAAAATAACATCCAATAGTAGGCGGACATGCTTAAACTGAACTTTGGTAGTTGCGGTTGTGGGAACACTGAACTGAACAGCTTAAGCATTCGACCGCCGCGTGTGACATATTATATGTTATTCTCATGGCTGGAGAACAAAGACGTGTGCATACATAAAATAAGCCAACATACTTGATGCCAGTTTATACATTTGGTGTCAAATTTGTTAGCCGTTGAACGTCCTACCTCAGGAAACCGGGTCTCTGGACGCAAAACGAAGATTGATTGATTGTTAGCCGTTGAACAATTCAATATCGTCTTATATAAATTTTATATCATAGAGGCATGTATGAAGAAGTTAAGTAGGTGAAGGCTATTTTTACTTCGTCAGCTGTAACAAAAGACAGATTACAGGCTCAGACAATCAGAAAGCATTGTCCGCGTAGTTGTGGAAGATTCATCAGTGCAAGCTTCATCCTTTTGAGATTCATCAGTTGGAGTTCCATTAGTTGGAGATTCATCAGTTCAATCAAGGAGCGACGGTACATCCCATTTAATTAAACTATAGATATTAATTAAATAGCGTTTAAAAACAATAATAACAATAATAATAATATAATAATAATAATAATAATAATGTTAGTAACTGCAATAGTAAATATACAAAAACCTTGTTTGATTAATAACGTTTGAATTGACAAGTATTTCTTTTTAAGTTATTTGCCTATTTATTATTAGCAATAAAATTCGTTAAGAATTAATTTGTACTAATAAAATATTAAAAAATGAGTCAACACGTGAGAGACGACTTGCGAGCGTGCAGAATCTACTTCTATGACCACCTGACGACGACGTAGGACGATACAAATCTACAACTTTATTATCACATAATAAGAAAAGCAATTATACTAGTAATGCATATTGCATATATGTTGTGTTTCAACTTGAATTTATTTTAAAATTCTTTATTTCTGAAATTATCTTTTAGAATTTTAATCAACAACAATTTCTAATATTCTTTATTACTATTACGAAATTAAACTTCTTCAATTTATGTTTTATTAATAAAAGAAAATGTTTTAACTCAAGTTACGTCTAACAGACATTCGAATTTCTAATTTCTGGTTGACGAGCTGTCACTGGTTGTCGAACTGTCAAAACATAAGTCTAAACAAATGCCTCGGAGAATCAAAACGTGAAAGCTGAAAAGCAATATTCGTCGAGAAAAATTTCAACAGATTGTCGCCACACAGCTAGACCACCAATCGCAAGCCAGTACAGATTGGAGTACATACAAAACCGTTTTAATGAACGCTGCAACTACAGTTTGTGGGAAAACTGGTACAAAACGTCAGCATGAACGTGACACTTGGTGGTGGAATGACAGTGTACAAAATGCAATAGCTGAAAAGAAAGTTGCATACAAGCAATGGCAAAAATCAAAGTCTGCTGATGACCACAAAATTTTCCGTGAGAAGAACAACTATGCAAGACGTCAAGTTGCACTGGCTCGGACAGATCAGTGCAGAGGGTGGCTCACTAAAAGCAAAGGTGAACAAATGAAATCTCTGTATCGTATAGCAAAACAAGCAAAGCGTTCGAAAAAAGATATAGTCGGTGCCTCATGTATCAAAAACGACAAAAATGAGATGGTTCTTGAACAAGATGAGATCAAGCTACAGTGGAGAGAATACTTCAACCGTCTATTAAACGAAACAAATCCCATCAATGTTAAATTTGACGCTCCGCCCATCGAAGGTCCGATTCCAGACATCACTGTAGAGGAGCTTACAGAAGCTCTGAAAGCTATGAAGGATGGAAAGGCAGCAGGGCCCTCTGGACTCACAAATGACATTATCAAAGCATCTGGTACTGCAGGTATCCAAACGTTACTACAACTTTGCCGTGAAATCTGGAGAAATTGCTCAATGCCGACTGAATGGAACTATAGCATGACAGTCCCGCTATACAAAGGCAAAGGTGATCCATTGAACTGTTCATCATATCGGGGTATACGTCTGTTAGAACACTCCCTGAAAATTGTCGAAAAAATCATTGAGAGAAGATTAACGTCGTGCATCACAATCGGAAATTATCAATTTTTGTTTCCTAGCGGGGAAATCAACAATTGATGCAATTCACATCCTTAGTGCAACTGCAAGAGAAGTACCTCGCAAAGCATCAACAACTATCGCACATTCTGTAGACCTTGAAAAAGCATTTTATCGACTTCCCCGTGAAGCAATCAGGTGGAGACTATCTTGCTCGACTTGTGATGGAAATGTATACGAATACTAAGACTTTCGTCAGCACAACGATTGAAAACACAGATGCATTTGACATCGGCGTTGGAGTTCACCAAGGCTCGATTCTCAGTCCACTGTTATTTATAACTGTGATGGAAGAAATCACAAAACCGATACGCACTGGTGACATTTGGAATCTAGTATATGCTGATGATATCAGCCACGTCTGAGCAGAATGCAGCAAGGATGTTTGAAGATTGGAACACCAGACTCGCCGATCATGGTTCAAAGTCAACATCAGCAAAACCAAAGCAACGAACACTGGTGAACCCATCCAATCCACAGCTACTGGACGATGGCCCTGTTCGGTTTGTAAAGCTGGTGTAGGTAACAATTCTATCAAGTGTCAGCAGTGTAACCAGTGGTGTCACAAAAGTTGTTCAAAAATAATTGGTACTTTATCTAAAATGTCCAATTTTGTTTGTCCTGCTTGCATCAATCCACAACAACAAATTCAAAATAGCACTGTTTTTGAAGCCATTAAAATAGAAAAAGTCACAACGTTTCAATATCTAGGGGATGTTCTAGATTGTACTGGAACAGCTGAAGCTGCCGTTCGAGCACGCATACGTGCAGCCTGGAATAAATGGCATCTCCTTGCCTCTATATTGATGCGGCGTGACATTCCACTACCACTACGATCAAGACTTTATAAATCTGTGGTACGTCCGCTATTGTTATATGGTGCAAAAACATGGCCAATGACAACCAAACTGGAACAACAACTTCAACGAACCGACATGAAAATGCTCCGATGGATGCAACGAATTAGTCTGAAGGACCACATCAAATCTACCGAAATCCTGCGTCGTGCTGGTTTAGATGATATAAAGGACGAATGCCGGCAACACCGTCTGCGGTGGTTTGGTCATGTCAAACGAAGTGGAAACAGTGCCATAACTTCTCTTGCAGATGTTGAAGTACCTGGCACACGTCCCAAAGGCCGTCCAAAGAAGTCCTGGTCGCAAACAATCGAGCAAGACATGAAAGCTCTAAATTTAAATGAAATGGATACAACTGATCGTCTAATTTGGCGCAAAAAGTTGATGGCAAAGAAAACAACGTCCTACCTCGGGAAACCGGGTCTCTAGACGCAAAACGAAGATTGATTGAATTCCTAATGTAGCCACACGTTCCAATTTCCACATACGGTTATTCCATTCTCTCCATGTCCATGCATACACACATGTGTTAATTCATTCCCAGCACATGCATACACAGTTGTACTTCATTCTCACCTGAGCGCAGGCATACACAACAAGTGTTAATTCGTTCACAGCCATACTTTATCATTCAATACACTACACCCCTTCCTCCTTAATTATCAACTCTTCTACCATCCATACCACAGCGGTGGAACTCCTTTGATAGTTAGGGTTGAACATCGCAAAGCTGGTTCTTCAACTTGGTCCTTGATCACATCTGGTTGCTGCTCGAAAATCTCTGACTGTCATGGATCCACTACCCTTGGTTGTTGAACTGTCTCACTCGGCATCATGGGATCAACAGTATCGTTAGGTTCTATGTTTGGTAAAACAATTATTTCCTTTTTCTGTTGACTTCTGCAACCTTTGTCGTGACTCAATAGATGATCTACGTGTCGTTTCCATAGTTTTTTATACTCATCAACTTGAACCATGTAGGTTAAATTTGCCAACTTATGTAGAACGATTCCAGGTATCCATGTTGTTTTATTCAACCAAAATTTTCTAACCCAGACACTGTCTCCAGGGTAAAAATTTCGATTACCACTTCCAACGGTTGCCTGCTTTTCTTGTGACTTTTTAACATTATCTTCTGGTATGCATCGCACAGCATTCAAAGGTGATCTCAGACGCCTTCCCATCATCAGTTGTGCTGGTGAATAACAAGTTGTTGGATGTTATGTATTTCTATAAGTTAATAGAAATCGTGAAATGCGATGCATAAGTCACTCGTAAGACAATTCTTGTTCTCCAATAACCGCTTTGAAAGTAAGAACAAATCTTTCAGCTTCTCCATTAGATCGTGAGTGATATGGTGAAGTGCAGATATGTTTAATATTAAACCTCCTACAAAAAGCTTGGAATTCTTTTGAAGTAAATTGTGTTCTGTTATCTGATACAATTTCTGCAGAAACCCCAAATCGAAGTAATTGTAACAGTGCTTTTACAGTGTTCTGTAAAGTAGTTTTTTGTACAGGAATAACTTCCGGCCACTTTGTTCTTGCATCTACTACAATAAGCCAATAAAGTCCTTGCGTCGGTCCAGCATAATCAATATGCAATCAATGCCATGGCTTCTCTGGAAATTTCCACGGATGAACCTTAGCTACTGGTGCTTCAGATCGAATGCTCTGGGAGTGTGAACAAATTTTTACCATCTTTTCAATGTGTACATCTATTTTAGGCCACTATACAAAGTTCCGAGCTAGATTTTTCATTCGAACTATGCCTGGATGTCCTTGATGCAATTCTTCTAAGATGGTTTTCCACATACTTGTCGGAATAATTATACGTTGACCTCGATAGATTATGTTATTTACAATTGATAATTCGATTAGATGCTGCTTGTAAGGTTCCAAAACTTCGTTCCTATCTTCTTTAGGCCATTTTCCGTAAGCTAAAATATGTGATAACTACATCTTTTTTCATAGCCTTATGTAGTTGTTGATATGAAAACAAGCTGGGCCCCAATTCATCGACATCATGAATTTCAATGTCAAAAATATCGATCTCATTGTCGTCCTGTTTTTCTAAAGTTAGACGAGATAATGCATCAGCATTACCGTGTTGGGTCGTTGATTTTTACTGAATCGAATATTTAAAACCTTGTAAAATCAAAGCCCATCTTTGGAAACGTCGAGATGTTCGGTTGGGGATAGGTTTATCTGGTGATAACAAAGTCAATAATGGTTCGTGGTCTGTAACCAACAAAAATTCTTTACCATACACATGTTGTTGAAATTTCGAAATGCAAAAGATAATGGCATAAGCCTCTTTTTCTACTTGAGCGTAATTTTGTTGTGTAGGGTTCAATTTCTTAGAAGCATATGCAATTGGTTTTTCATCGCCGTTTGAAAAATGTGAAATAACGTTGCTCCAACTCCATAATTAGACGCATCTACTGCTAGCCCAATAGGCTTCAATCGGTCGAAATGACACAATACTGGTGCTTTAGATAATTCGTCTTTGATCATAGAAAATGCTTCATCATGCTCTTTTGTCCATTTCCATTTATTTTTTTCTTTAGTCAAGTTATACAATGGTACTAAAATATCTGCCAAATTCTTACAAAATTTCCCATAGTAATTGACTAGTCCTAGAAATGATCGTAATTCATTGACATTTTTTTTGGTTTTGGTGCCTTTTTGACAGCTTCGACTTCATCTGGTGCCGTGTGCAGTCCATCTTTGTCAATAATATGACCCAGATAATTTACTGAAGATGCTCCAAAATGACATTTCTTGAAGCATAACCTTATTTCAAATTCTCTGGCACGTTGAACTATTTTGTTTAATCGCTCTAAGTGTTCTTCCTCTGTACGTGCCGCTACCAAAACATCGTTCATGAAGGTTGATGTTCCTTCTAATTCACGAATTCTAATCTGATCCATAGCACGTTGAAAAATCGCTGGAGCCGACGCAATTCCAAACAGTAGATGTTTGTATCTATACAATCCTTTTCTCGTGTTAATTACCAGGTATTTTTGTGCTTCATCGTCAAGTTCAATTTGATGGTAGGCTTCGGCCAGATCCAAGGTTGAAAAATACCTGCAGCCTCCCAATTTCGCAAAAAGGTCTTCAACTCTTGGTAACGGGCACCGCTCTACCATCAATGCTTTGTTAATAAAAACTTTAAAATCTGTACACAATCGAACTGCTTCTGTTCCTCTTTTTGCCACGATAACAATTGGTGATGCATATTCGCTGATGTCTCTAGCCACACGCTCAATAGTTCCCCTTTTTTCCATTCGTTCTAATTCGAGGTCGACTTTCTTTTCAATAGCAAATGGAACTGGTCTGGGTTGCCAGAATTTCTTAATTGGCATTTCCTTGAGCGTGATGCTGGCTTCAATACCTTTGATGCAACCTAATGTTTCGCTAAAAATATCTGTGTATTTTTGTAGTAGTTTTTTCAAATCTTTATCAGCTTTGTTGGCGGATTCATCCATCTTCGCTGAATTCATGTTTACTTTGTTACTATTGGTTTTTTCTTCCCGACACTGAAAAAAATCTATGCGCATGGTCTTGATCCATCTCACCCTAACCAAGGATGTACAGTCTCTTTTAACAACATAGTACAATTGATTGCTAAATTTCTTTCCTTCGACTACTACAGTTCTTCTTCTACATCCGAGTATTGGAAGTTTATGTCCACTATATGATTCGAACTGTTTCTTAGCTGATTGTAAGGTGGGTGAACCAATTTTTATCCAATCTTTTTTACTGATGATCGTCTCTAATGTACCTGTGTCTACTTCACAAGTGATTATACACTCGTCAATCTCCAAGTCAACGTATCGCTTTTTTAAGTTGCTTGTCTGATCATCCATATTAAAAATCTGAATATAGCTACTATCTTCTTCACCTTCTTCAACTGTTTTAGCCCTGGTCCAATTCTTCTGCTTTAATTGATTTTTTCCTCTCTTGGATGGCAATTTTTTTTACAAACATTTGCTATGTGACCATTCAACCCTCAGTTGTAGCATTTCGGATCCATAAATTTACAAATTCCTTCATGATTGAATCCGCAATGTTTACATTTCTGATTGTTTCCGTTCTGTTGTACTAACATTGTTTTTTTTCTCGTCCTTCACTTCCTTGCTTCAGTGAGTTGATTATTTCTTTGCCCTGAAGTAATTCAGCTGTCTTGTGGGCTCTAGTATATCCTTCCGCAAAGGTAACTACATTTTCTACATCTAAATCCCGGCGCGTAAGTAAATCGGCCTGGATATTTTGGCTAGCCAAACCAAAAATAAATTGGTCTCTTAGTCGTCGATTCTCCGGTGCTGTAGCATCAGTAGCAAAATCGCATGTCTACGCCAATTGTCTCAACGCTGACATATATTCTGTCGGTGTCTCGTCGATGTTCTGTTTTCTTTGGCTAAATTGAAATCGTTCCTGGATTTCCAATCGCGGTAATTTAATTATTGACTTTACCGTTGCAGCGATTTCGTTGAATGTGTGGTTGTCGGCTGCATTTCCTGCCATTGTCCATTATTGGTTGGTTAATCTTCTTCCCATATTTTGTCTAAGCAACGCTTTTGTTTTTTCTTGGTTTATTTCATCATAAAGAATATTTTCTATTAAAAAATAACCTTTTAACCGTTTGACAAATCTATCCCAAGTTTCAAATTCTGGGTCAAACTCTTGAAATTTTCCTATCGTCAAAAAAAACAGTACTCGTATATCAATGCAATAATGATATTAATTCAACGAAATATTTTTAACTCTATAATAATTTTAATCCTCGTCGTCAATTTGTTGTGTTTCAACTTAAATTTATCTTATTTATCTTTACTTCTGAAATTATCTTTTAGAATTTACGTTTAACAGTCATTCAAATTTCTAATGTAGCCAGACGTTCCATTTTCCACATACGGTAATTCCATTCTCTCCATGTCCATGCATACACACATGTTAATTCATTCCCCGTTCCCAGTACATGCATACACAGTTGTACTTCATTCTCACCTGAGCGCATGCATACACAACAAGTGTTAATTCGTTCACAGCCATACTTTATCATTCAATACACTACAATATACAAACAAAACTAATGAATATACATTGAAAAATGGTTGTGAAAAATTTAGCATAACATAGCCAACAGAAGATGCAAATAAAAATGCTAAATGACGTCAAAAATAGAAAACACGATTTACATTTTAAATAATTTCACATGAAAGTTAAAACTAAATGCTGTGAGACTTAAAAAATACATTCGAACCTCAAGTGCGGCAAGAAATATGTGAAAATGCCTGGTAATAAAAAAAAACATTGATAGACTGTTTTTTACTTTATAATCAGATTTTTGTTTGATTTTGAAGAGTTCATGATAATGATGATGAAGGAATAATAAAATTATAAGCCAACATGCCCTGTGCCAATTTGTGCCAAATTTGGTTTATGATAAACACTCAGAATATTGATTAGAAATATAGTGCCTCAGGACAGTTTATTGTGTTTCATTTACAAATAATCCAACTGAACCCACACAATAGAAATTTTGTTATTTGAGCTGTCACAATGATGTAAATGGGCTGAGAACTGACCAAATGCAATTCATAACAAAAGTAACCGTCAATACTCTGGCAATTGTTTGAAGTAAATGTTTTACAAAAAGAATAAGCTAACCTTCAGCTTCCAGATTCCCTTGCAGTGATGTTCACAATGTTCTTTCAAAAATAATTTGCAAGTTTCTCTATTGAAAAGATTTCGGTTGCGACTGTTGAAAAGAATAACAGTAAAAAACATTAAAAATATTAAAAATTGCAAATAAATTATTATTCATTCATCGTTGATGTCAAGACATTAAGTCAAGTTCCATTTTCTTAAGTCTATGGCATCCAACCGATATTATTCATTCTGGCCTCAGTTCAAGTAGTCCAATATTGATTTGATTGTAGTAGTATTATTTTTATTTTTGATTGATTTTTATTTTCATGCCATCAAAAACTTATTTCTATTCATTAGAAATGTTCAAAATAAAAAAATTGAAACTTAAAATGCAGAGGATATTAGTGATTAGAAACCAAAAATCAAACTTAAATAAAAAACATTTTATTATAGTGATTAGAAACCAAAAACTAAACTTAAATAAAAAACATTTTATTATAGTGATTAGAAACCAAAAACTAAACTTAAATAAAAAACATTTTATTAACCTTCTTAGCAAAAACTAAATAAAATATACAGTCGGACCTCCGTATAACGAATTTGATGGTTTCAGGAAAAACATTCATTATATAGAAATTTTTTTTTTTTTCTAGTCTAGAACCACTTACAATGATGTTGCATATATATTATCTATATATCTTTATGTTCTGAAGCATCCATCTTTGCCACAAAGGCTGTTTATCCTTTTCACATGACGTACACATTGTATTTATGTGCACACACAAGCACCGAGTCATATACGCTGAGTATATGATGGCCATTGAGATGTTTGACTCAGCGAGCATTTGAACCACTGAGCCATTTCACAGGCCAACATGCGACAATTTGTTACTTTTGTTATGAATTGCATTTGGTCAGTTCTCAGCCCATTTACATCATTGTGACACTTGAAAAATTTCACTAGTAATTTCTATTGAGGAGTTTCGCTAGTAATATATCTGTTTAAGAGTTTTTAGCACCAGTCTGGTTGAAAAGTGGTTAATAATAATCCAGTTGAAGCACTTGAGGAGTGTTCTGGTATTGATCATGTTGAAAAGGATCTAGTGATATTCCTGGTGAAGAGTTTCTAGTATTATGCCAGTTAAAGAAGAGCTAACAACGTGGTGTGACCAGAGTGTCAGAGTCGTATAAAAAATATCTATAGAATTTCCAACTTCGGGCCCAACTCCAGGTAAAAATTTGACTCCAACTTAAAATTTTCAATGCTAAAATTTTCAATGCTCAAATTTTCTCAGATTTTCAGGGATTGTCAATTTTTGAGATTGAGATTTTTCTGACTCAGAAAAATCTCAATTTTTGAGATTGAGATTTTTCTGACTCAGAAAAATTTTTCAACTTTTGCATCATAATTCCACCTTACTATCACTATTAAATAGAAAATACATTGAAAAACACTTAAAACAGTCAATGTCATTGTTTTTTTTTTTAATAAAATTATTATATTTTGATGTTTAAAACATACCAAAAAAGAATGTGATTTTATTGACAATATGTATTTACTGTATTAAAGATGATACATATTTATTTTCCAAAAAACACGATCTTGAAAAAATTTATTAAAAAATTAATAACATTTTCCAGAGTCGGATGAAAAAATTCCGACTCCAACTCTGGGCCCTCAAAAAGTTCTCACTTCTCTGGTGTGACAAAGCAATATTTCAGAGTTTGTCAATACAGGTTTTGTTGATCACTAAGATTGCAGTGTGAGTGTTTAACAAGCAGTCATGATTAAATAAAACAGAATTAGATAGAAAACAGACGAACAACGACCAGCATAAACATCAAATGATACAAACTTCATATTTTTGACTGTAGACATTATAGTGGTGCCTGTTTTAACATCTTGAGACATGTATTGGAATAATGAAGAATCAATAACTGCTTTCTTTGGGCTGAAATTTATTTAAAATTATCATTATTTGATCAAAAGTAAAATCCGTTCATTTCATCATATTAACAAAAAATTTCCAATAAAAATAAAGTCTAAAAATGTCATATTAAAGAACCTTTTGATGACAATTCTTTTTTTTCCATCAGCATTAACTTCATGTTCAGTAACAAAATTGCTTAACCCATTGTTCCCAGTTCCACTGAGATTAATAACAGGAAACACTTTTATTACAATGGCGTTTTTTCTTTCTGTCTCGGTTAAGATGGAAACTTTCTCTCCAATGAAATACCTATCCCTTGTAAAGCCATATATATCATCAAGCAAATCCTTGAAGATTGTGCGTTTGGTGAGGGAAACTAAATGAAGAATGGGAAGATGTAATGTTCTTGGAAAAGAATTAATTTGTTTTCTTGAATTTCCTTCAGACTCAACAGCCTCTAAAAACGTTAAATTGTTGTGACCAGTTGATTCGCAAGTCCATATTAAACTGTTGCATAAGATTGTTTGATCAAAAAATTTCCTGCATGCAATAAAATTTAATTTAAAGTTATTTATATAAATAATTTTGGAGTTTTAAAAATTTATTCATTCTGGCCTCAGTTCAAGTATTGATATAATATTCATAACATATTATTGAATTAGATTAACTATGGCCACTTAAGTGCGTAAAACATTTGAAATTTAATTTTTATAATTATTTTTCAACTTATTTATATAGAAAACATGTTTTTAACCACTCTTCTATTCATTTCTAGTCTAGACAGGAAAAGCGTTTTTTTCTGTAATTATTTGGTAAAGAACTGTCCCTTGTGACTGTTGCGGTGCTCTTGCAAATGTGTGTTTTTATCTTGTTTTTATTGTCATGCATTTAGAAAAATAAATAAAAAAGTGTTTAAAAACTTTGTTTGCTATATAAATAAGTTGAAAATGGTGATAAAAATGATATGAAATGGGACAAGTTGCAAATAAATTTTGTTTAGATACACTAATTATTTTAAAAAAACAGAATTGTCAGCTTTTTCAACTCTATTTTGTAGTTTAAATTTAGTTTCACATAAACAAATAGAATCTTGTAATAAATATTCAACAGAATGAAGTAACTTTGCTACCAACAAAGAAACTACTAATAATGTATCAACGCAAATAGTTAAATGCGCCTGGTCTTCCTGATGCAGTGACTGGGTTTGAATACAAAGAAATCCCTGCCTATCATACACAATGTGTGTGGTGCATAGTTTTTATATACGCTCTGTTAGTTTGTCGATGAAACCTATGAAGCAAGTGCAAAAGAAAGAATGGCATTTAACCTTTTACATTCCAGTTTTTTTTTATTATAAATATTAAATTATAACTTAATTTTAAAACTCAATTTAATTCAATAATAATCATAGATCTGTTTTAAAAGAATTCGGAACTGTTACATTCCAAACATGCCTGCATAATGATTGTATGATTTCTCTGATAGTGTTTCTGCATTTAGTGTTTTCTTCTTTATAGCCACAACAAAAGTGAGAAGGTGTTAATCATACTATACAAAAATTGGAGTGTGTAGTATGCTGCATGACAGTTTATTCCAGTTTGCATTTGAAGGCTCTCCTAGCTTAGAGTTTAAATCTACAGCATTGTGCAGAGCATTCTATTCAACTTTATCTCTTAATGCTCAACTCTATTATGTACAGATAAAATATCATTAAATGCAAATCACTACTAATGCTTATCATTAAAATTTGCATAGAAATTTAATATGAAGCATTGACATGAAAGAATATATTATTTTTTTTCAATTTTTAGGTCTCAGCACTGATGTTTGAAAGTTTCTTGTTCAAATTATTAGGTTGAGGAGAAAACAATGTCGCTTTTTACTAGGTTCAATTTCTTGGTATTATTTTTAAGAAATTATTTTTGGCTACCACTGAATGTTATGCATCATTTTAAAATTTAATTGAATTTAATTGTTTATTTATGCAAACATATTAGAAAGAGTGCTTTATTTTATTGGCCTTTAAGCTTTTTCAAAAAATGTTGTTGAAGCGGGAAATTCGTATGATTTTGCTTCATGATTTCAAACCATGTCATAATGCCTCAGAGGAAAATTCGAAATGTTATACAAACATGGGGATATGCAAGTACTTCTTAAAGATGGTCAAAAAAGATTATATAATAGTGCAATTATTGTCCAAAGTTCTATGTTCTAGCCAATAAAATACATACAAGAATAACTAATAAAAATTGTAAATAAATAAAAAAAACTATTATCATGATTCAGTAAGACCTGAACATTGCATAGGAAGCATTAGCAAATACATTTCAGCTGTTCTAGGTCTCATTAACTAGTCTATTACAAAGCTATTTATTTTTATTATAAAATTTAAAATAGAAATATTAAATAGACATCATCTCTTATTAATTAAGGTCCTCAGCAGTAATTACATTTAATTTGTGATGTCATTGCCACTTATGACCAGGGCCGCCGAGAGGGTATGTCAGCCAAGTCTAAAACTTGGGGCCCGGGACGGGCCCTAAAATTATTTTTTCCATCCAATTTTTTGAAAAAAAGTGGTTTCAAAGATTCGAAAAAATTACTTAGACGCGAAATATCACTTCAGCGAGAAATTAATTTTGTCTGAATGTATTGCACAAAAATATGAATTTTTCCGAATGTTCATAATCGTTTTCTACATTCACATAAAAGAGTGATTATTTAATTTATTAAAATTTACTATGCAATGTGACGTACAACAGACGATACAAATCAGCATATTATCTGTATATGTATTATATGTCTGTAAAAATGAACCGACCGAGATTAAAATTGCGATATAACATTAATTTTTCCAGAATACGCTAAATATATAAAGCTGAACTTAATTGCAAAAGTGGATTAGGATTATGTCAACATTTTTAAGAAAAACTAATATAAATTATTAACATAAAAATTACACATGCAATTGCGTATTAAATGTAAGTCCATCTCCATGGTAAAGTCGGTTTTTTCGGTGTTGTCAATCGTTTATTTAATTTGTTTGTTTTTCAGTGTAGCGTTCTTTAACTGTTGCCTCAAAACAAGAGTGAATCAGAGAAATGAGCTATCAGCATAAATCAGGTGCTTCAAAAAGAAAGGAAAAAGAAAAACGAGAAACGTTAGCAAGAAAAAACCAAAAAACATGTGACAGTTTTTTTATGATTAATCAATCAAGTTCCAATTTTCACAACGAATCTGAACCTGAAAAAATTGAAAATACTACATTGGTGGAAGAATCTCTTACCGTTATTTCTCCTGAAATTGTAACGTTTGATGTTGACGAAGGTGAAAACTCATCTGCGGCCAACAACTGCAACAAATCAACACTTTCAGTGTACGATATAGGAAAAGAAGAAAACACATTTCTTCAAACCAAAGACGTTCATGAAGCCGTCCTTAACGGTCCACCAACCTTGCCTAAAAACTTTCCAGTAGACTTTGAAGGGAACTTTTTTCCTCCATCGGCGCTTGTTTGTAAATTGAAAAATGGAGAAGAGGTCAAAAGAAATTGGTTGGCATGGAGTAAAATCAAAAATGCAATTTATTGTTTTCCATGCCGCATATTTAGTAAATTGCCTTTGCCAAATAGGTCCATGTTAACATGTCCAGAAGGATTTAGTGGCAACAAACTCTCATGGAAGAGAATTCACGATAAACTCAACCCGCACGAAAATAGTTCTAACCACAAATTGTGCT